TATATATATATATAAATATATATCCTAAAGATAATTTTGCAATAGTTCTGGATTTACAACAAGATAATATCATATAAATTTGAATTGTAAATATCATTTTTGTGATTATATTTTCATATGTATTTATATTTATATATAAAAATAAATTCATTTTAAAAAAATCTATATTATTTTTTAATCTAATTATTATACAAGTGTCTATTTATCCTAAAAAATTTGATATATAAACAAATGCAATAGAAATAGCTTTGTAACAACTGTTATGGCTTCTTCAAAATAAGAATGTTAATATTTTTTGTACTTATTCTTTTTTTATTTTTTATTTTTTTCGTAGTTTTTTGGATTACATTTTAATAATGATGACTTGTAAGAGAGATTTTTTAAGATTTTAGACATAATAGGTATATTTAGTATTTGATATTTGCTATAAATATATTTTAAATGATTTGATATATTTTTAAAAAATATGTTTATGGAAAAATTATCATTTAGAGATTTGATATAATCTCACTCTTAAAGAACCAAATTAAATATCTAATTCTCTTTCTTCAATAAATAATCACCTTTTCTATGTATTTATATAAACAACTTAATAAATTAGGCACAAACAAAAATTTAATTTAATTCATACTTTATAGAACTATCACTAAAAAGCTAATAAGTTAATAAAACCAGTCTATTGAATTGTATATCAAATAAGTTAAAGAACTATATAAATAGTGATTATAACATTGTAAACAAGGTTTTAAAACTGATGTATGTATTAAGTATTTTTTTGAAGCAATAAATGTACAGGACAACATACATTTTTAAATTTTTTCTAGTATTTATGACAATAATAAATATTATTATAATATGTTGTCTTTATTATAATAGAAATACTTAAAGTTATTAATTTCTTTAATATTCATACTTGTATCACTATTAAATAATTTTTTTGTTTTTATATAATTCTATATTTAATAAGTTGCCTTAAAATTGAAATCTTAAAACAAATAAAAATTAGAATAAGATTTTGATATAATTTAATATTTTTTAAAATTTTACATGCATATTTTTAAATGATTATATTATAAAAGTATATTAAATATTTAGATAGATATATGTTATGATAAATTTAATATAATAATGATAGATAGTATATTTTAAAAATAAAATAATTATATAAAAAATTTGTATACTTAGAAATTATATTTTACATATTTAGATATATATATATATATATATATATATATATATATATCTAGGAATGATAAAGCAATCCAAATTTTTACTAAAGTGACCTGCTCTTTCTTAAGTATCATTGCACCCTTAGAGCCTCTATTCTTGTTCCCAGTTGTTCTCTATTTCCAACAATGGGCAATTTGATATAAATGAGGCTAAGAATGGAGTATGTGTGCTGATTTAGTAAAAATTTGGGTTGCTTTATCATTTCTCTATATATATTAGGTAATGTTAATGCTACTATAATTTTTACTATTGTCACTCCAATGCCTCATGCACCACATGCAATAGTAAAAAGTATGGTGGCATTAACAATACTATATATACAAGTACATTTTTTATGTCTTCATTTTGTTTATTTATTTATTTATTTACATATATTATGTATATTTGTAAGCTATTTCATTTTGGACTACATAAACTCATTAGGAAAGTTTGGAGATGACTCCAAATGAACCCTACCTTATATAAAATTTAAACAACCTAAATTTAATCTATTTAAAAACAGTTTTTCAATACGAAAACAGATACTTATTTCAAAAGAGCATGAAACATCCCAAGAGCAAAGCCTCAAAAACCTCACTTTCAACAGAATTCACCAACGCATTATAATCAATTCTCAAGTTTCCATCACTGAGCAAGCAATGCTTGTTGCATTGAACATCACACAACACCAATTTCAAAAACAATCTTACAACAGATTCCGAAGTTTTACATCATTGTACACTTGAGCATAGTCAGATACCTCTCTTTTCTTCGGTTTTCTATACTCTATTTGAGGATCCAATCTTACAAACAAGACAACTGTGGAATAAAACACACCACAGCATTCAGCACAAGAAGATAGAAGCGCATCTGAAACAAACTAAAGCCCGTAAACTAGAATATTTTACAAGAATACAACAACGAGCAGGCTATAAAACTCCATCCTCCGGGACAAAGAAGGAGCAAACGCCTTCGCAGATTGTCAGTCTCTTCATTGCAGCATCTACTGTTTCTGATATATAGATATATATATATATATATATATATATAAACACAAAGACGGCAAAAGAGTGTGTGATGAAACATCGGTAACAAGATGCCAGTGGAACTGGTGGAGTGAACCCAGACTTGGGTATCGATGTTACGACGCCGATGCAATCACTGGGAAGCTTTAGTGTTGAAGAGTTTGTCTCGACAATGCCCACGTAACGATCCCTACCACACAGGCTATTGAATAGCTGTAGGTAGCTGGCAGTGGATGGAGGTGTCCAGGACGATGTACGTGGGGTCGGACCGTCGCACTGCACGCCGAGCTTGCAGAATCAAGCCCCTCGGCGACCGCAACAGCAGCAGCAGCAAAAATGCTATTCTCTGATCAGACACGTTTTACTTTGGATGATGACGGATCTATCAGATGAGTTTCCATCGCCTTCGTCAGTGACTGATTCCTAGACGAGGAAGCGCTGGAGGTTGAGTCCACAGTGGCACTGTACACTTCGTTGTCGATGCCGTGAACTGGTAGGAGCTGAATTCATCGACCTGGTTCGGGTTACTTTCATGCACCCAGTCCCAGTGATCGGGGTCTGAAGGGTCTCGAAGCCGTCGTCGCCTCTGTTGTGATCGACAGCTGGTCTTCTCTTCTCCAGTTGCGTGATTCGGTGTTATTGCATTATTCGGTGTTCAGCCGTGGCAACTGCTATAGCGGGGAAGGAGAATCAAGTTTTGTTGCTAGTCAACGTGAGCTACGGGTGAATTTTCGAAAATGTCTTTTTTTCCTTTCCATTTGCAATGTGTAGTTATCGTCTATCCTGGGTAGACTTAGTTACATGCAACTTTTCCTGCTCGATCCTTTATTTTTTGGTAATAAAAAATCACCAAAAAAATTAGTGTTCAAATTAAACATAAAAACTATATGACTTGAAGAAAAAACCAAACTAGTAAGTTGATAAAAGTGTACAAAATTGTAGAAGTTGATTAATATTAACATATCTCTCAAAATATAAATGAGTTCTAAATTAATATGAACATAAAATATATACTAAATATAAATATTATTTTCTAAAATATTTTCTAAAATAATATATAATCTTAACATTACATTACACTCAAAATACTTCAACTATTTCTTTCTTTTTAATGAAAAAAAAAAATTATAAAGAAATCTTGGATTTTTTCAAAATAATGAAATATATTATTTTTAAATTAATATGATTTTTTTCTCTACTTTCTTTAATATTGAATAGATGTAATATAAAAAAGGTTCTTGTATAATACATTTTAAAAATATATAATATATATTGCAAAATATCTAAACTATCTTTGGACATGTATATTAAAAAAAAAAAAAAAAAAAAAAAAAAAAACATTATCCCTACAAATCAATAATGTAAATATACCAAAATGAAATAATAATTAATGTACCAACAACACATTATATACCTTGATTCTCTTCATAAGTGTACTTAGTATATTATAATTATAAAATTGAACTACAAAATAATAATAATAATAATAATAATAATGTTTATTTTACATTTATTAAATTTTATCACAAGATTTTTACTTCTGATTGAAGAACTTTTTTTCAAGAACTATTATACTAATATAATTTGTTTTGTCAAGATATCTAAGAGAATATAGGTTTGTATCTTTTACTTTTCATGGAGATTTTAACACTAGTTAAATATTGTATTACCATTTATAAAACAATGTTTTGTTTCTTTAAATACATTATAGAATAATTAATGATAAATACTTATATTATTATTATATATATTCAATATTATTTTTTTGTAAATAATTATTAAATAACATTAGAAATTCAAGATACAAAATTTTACTATATTTTTTAATTCATGTATAAATTCTAGTTAAATCTCATTGTTTTAAATCATTACAAAATTAACAATATTTACTTATTTTACGTTGAATATGGAACCAAAGAGTATTAGATATATGTTAAGTATTTATGGATATTTAAAAAATAAATTAAATTAAATGAACTCACATGACAAAAAATCATTGAAATTGCTACAAGATGATTTAAATATGAAATCACTTCAATTCACTCTCAAACCATCAAATAGGTGAAAAACATTTTTTTCTAATGCCATTTTATATCTTCTGTTCTTCTGCAAGAAAAGTCATAAAGGTCTTGTGTAAAGTTTTCTATCAATGAAATCAATCAAAAATAATGTGCTGAGTTTTACTTATTTTTCCATATATCCCGATTTTCTTTTAGCATTTCACAGATACACTAAAACAAAATCAAAACATACTACTTTATGTAATATATGATAACTTTAATATATATGAAATAAAAGCTGAAAAGACTTACATATTTTTATATTTTGGATTGGCTTTAGATTCATATAAACCTTAGAAGTTATTGAAATCTTCTTAAAAAAGGTTCTAAGTATCAAAATAAAATAAAATAGAATAAAATAAAATAAAATAAAATAAAAAATTTAAACATAATTTAAACATAACTTTTTAAACACAATTAACAAAATCAATGACCACTCCGCCTCCAAGAAAAATGAACATTAAAAAAAGGAAAATAAAATTTCCAATTTAGATTAGTATTAATGTGAGCCGACATTCAACTGCATTTATTGGAAAACCATAAATTCAGTTTTTATTGGATTCTAAAGATCTTAGAATGCATTTGAGTGTGGATACGCAACCTCAAAGCTCAGCTTATTTGCAGTTCCACTGTTCTCTTTTCACCGCTAGATTATGGGTATTATGGTAATCGATGGCTACACAAAAGGAAAGAAAAGAAAAAACACTTGCACAAATAGGTTATATGAGATTATTTCTGATCATTTGAATGGACAGCACAGTAAATTTGAGGTCTTCTCATCGTTAGAAAACTTGGAATCGGAGATTCTTACAAAATTTGCTTCCAACAAGTTTTTCTCCTACAAAATCCTTTCGATGCACGAAGAATACCACCTGATAATAAATACTTTTCCATTGCTCATTACTTACGTGCACTGAGGAGTAGACCAGCCATTTGGAATAGGTCCAACATCTTGGATAATTTCACGATGACACGACCATACAAGCTTTATAGCTTCAGGTGTCCCAATCCCCGCTCCACGGGGATCTCCAGCTGGCCCAAACCTGTTTAAAGAAAACAAAATCTATTGTTGAAACTAAAGGTCCACAAAGCTTTTGTCATTTTGAACATTTGGAACGTTAACGTGGTACAGCAAGTGATTTGCTTGCATGTGAAAAAATGCCATGCAGGAAATGACACCGATCTAGAGCCTGAGGATTAAGAATACCCAATCACAGACCTAAAATTTACGAAATGAGTTGCAAGTAGAGGAGAAGAAAACCCACCAATGATTCTGGGGTGCCCCAGTTGTCCGAGCTCGGATGCCAGCATAAGTCGTTCCGTTAACAGTGTTGCTCAAGACTTCCTGTAAACCAATTCAGCAACGATAACTTCAAATCATGGGAATATGATAGTCGAGTAAATTTTGAGTAGTTACAACAGAGAATTTATTATCTACTTATTAGATGAATTTTCCAAAAAATTAAATAAAATACACGAATTAAGTTAATAGCCACTGCAACTGACTTCAACGGGATATTTGAAAATATACACAAGCCAAGTCAATTCTGACGTGGAAGATGGGTATATTAACCTGTAAGAAATGAACATCGTTAGAAACAACCGCAGCAGTAAGATGTGCATGCATTCGTTCACAAGCCTCAAAAACCAGCGGAAGGTCTTCATGTTTGTATTCTGTCAGTATCTGCACAGTACGCCGAACAATTACAGCTTAAATGCTCGATCGACATTTTGAAGAATAAACTAAATCACTGATCAACCAATGAATGCTAAATTCACAGCAAATATCTTTTTCATTCTGCACGCTACTAAATCACAAAAGATAGAAACTTTTGTTGACTACTCATAAAGGAAGGACCGTGATCATAGTGCTTTGTCACCCCACTCGACATATCAAACTAGAAACATTTAAAAGATGCCAATGAAGGAGCCTACTCACTTGAAATGGACCAAAAATTTCAGTGGTAGCAAGAGCAAAGTTTTCCTCATTCCTTAAAATTTCCTTCAATGGGACAAACACTGCAGTAGGCTCCAGGGCCCCGTACACATCAGGAATGGTATGATTTGTCAAAGGTTTTCCTCCAAACTCAACACGAGCGCCTGGGATAGCCAATAGATTCTTTACATGATCTAACATCCGCTCTGTCGTCACCTGAATAGCACGATGAACCAATTTAAGAAATGTTATTAGCATGTGCGGAGGATTATAAAAACCAGCAAGTGCTGAACTTACAAAGTGATGAGATTTACAGCACTGTATTTAGCAAATTTACAGCTTCTGAAGGTTAGAAACTACAAGGTGTTCTATGGAAAACTTGGTGGCCACACACTACCCAAAGGAACACACACCACTTTGACAGACTTGTATTTCAATACAATAGGCTATACCAAATCAAATAACAAACTATAAGAAATCAGACAATTCGCAGTATTTCAAGTTCCTCAATAACTGGCAAAAAAATCGAATAACGTAAGGAAACCAGATTCGCACCGTTAGAACAGGGCCAACAGTAAGGTCCTCCAGCTTCCGTTTTGATGCAAGCTTTTTTAATCTCTCCAAAAAATTTTGATTTGCCCAGTTCTGCAACGAAGAAAATATGGACATCACAGATATGGACTTATTGTAAAAGACCAAGTTGGTCAACTAACAAAATGCTTTTTAAGTCGACTTCAATGATGTACAGCAATAATACTCTCAGAGCTAGATCCATGTACATTTAAAAGAATTGCCTCGAAAACATGCTCTAAAAGAAATGTATATGGAACCTCATGCATAAATAGTATTGATTGTGCTGAGCATTTTTGTCCACTGCAAGCGTAAGCGTCCTGGTCACACACCCACGCAACATAGTCCTCCTGTGTTTGCAGAAGCCCACATTTTCCTCATCAAAACATCAGTACACTCTTGGCTATCAACCCACCCTCAATTCACAAATGATTGTGTCAAATCTCTTAACAAATCTTCTTCTCTAGAAACTATTAACTGATTTTCACTTGAAAGCATATAAAAAGCTAATCCCCATCATCAATAGTGATGCTTCAATTTTATACTGCTGTATCTAACTTCGTCTACTCAAAGTAGTTAATCACTCCCAGCAGCCAACTTAAGCATGCAATATGCAAAGGATCGTCTTATGAATGAGCAGCTTATCGACTCACGTTCTGTACGTCAGGACCGAGTATCTTCCAATCAAATCCCGCATCTTCCAGTTTGACACGACCCTTCAAGTCTAATGCCAATTTCTCGGCAACTTTTGAGCTACCTGTGAAAAGAGTCGTTTTGGGCTCCGCCTATACACAATTTAATGTATGTTAAGGACTTTAGAATCGTAAACCACATGGAACAAACAAAAATTATTTGAAGCGATTGAGGAAATGCACGGGTAGCCGAGACGATGAATAAGATCTGTCTTATCAAGCGATCATTCAAATATAGCAATGTCGTTGTTCGAATTGAATCTTACGTTTCTTGAATTGAATTTTAGTAATTTTCTTGGCTTATGATTATGCTTGACATTTAATGCTCACAAGTAAAGGGGGAAATATCTGTGGCGTCTTTTAAGTAGAACTGAAGCATTGAGAAAGCTAAACAAAACAAATCGTAGAGAAAGAAGACCTATACCATTTACAGCCATAGATAACTTGCGTAATACTCCTAAGGAAGCGTCTCACAAATATAAGACATGTAGCAAAGACTAATAAAGACTTGACACTGGACGAACCTGACCTCAAGTAGAAGTTTGTTCATGACTGGACCATCTGAGTTGATGAAGTCCATATCAGTCGGTGGCATCCCGCATTTGTGCAGTAGCCGAATAAATTGTTCCATTACAATACTAACCTGCACGCAGCTAATCTATTATACGCATACATATAGGAAAAGAAATGAAATGACCAAAAACGGCGACGATGACCTACAAACAGAGCAAAAAGCAGACAATCATCTGAGATTCTGATTCAAATTTACAACTAAAATATCCTCGCCAATACCAGTATACAATACAAGCGTGTAAGGATAACCATGCAACACCAGTAGACTGTTTTACTGAGATTGTTTGCCACATCTTTAAGCCCATTACATTTAGGAGGAGAAAAGCATGAGTAACAACCTTGCTGTCAACCTTTAATATCGGTTTGTTTCCCATGAACAATGCACCCAGAGCCTGCAATGCTGGAATTTCGAGGGGAAAGTTGAAAGGGGTAATTATTGCCACCTAGTATCAGCCAAGGTTAAACTTGATTCAGCTCTATCTTGAGGTAGACTAGGAGGCAAGTATCAACTGATATTCTTTCTCAAAAAATGCTTTTGTTCATGAAAAGTAACCCGATGACTACAAAGTAGCAGAGTGCAATTGAGCCACCAAAACTTCAAGGCGGTTAAATAAACTTTTAGAAACTTACCGGACCGTAAGGCCATCGCATGCCATTGCTTTGCTGTCCTTGGTAGTTCCCCGGAACAACGAAAGACCGAGCCAGAAAGCGAACCTGCTCCAAACCATGAGAGGAATTCATTTCAAGTTCTCGATACACTCAAGGTTAAATCATAGGCAATACGTTGTGCAACGATAATGTAATTAGACCCTTCACTTCTTTCAGGACATATATTCCTGTCCACTAGGCAAAGAATCTTGTTCTCGTTTGTAGGTAATCCCCTCAGGAATACGAATTGTCATCTTTTGGGATTTATAAGAAAACAAAGAACGTTCTTTAAATGGTCACAAGCCAAACACCACAATAACCAAGCACACATTGCATCAACACAGTTTGCAAACTCAAAAACAATACTCTTGAATTTTACAGTGACACAAGCTGTAGTAAACCCAACTTCATAAGCAACAGCACTAAAATCGACTCATGGATGTCCCCCACATCCAGTAATGGCTTGTCCACGAGCTTAACTTTGGTGAAGGACAATCAAAGAAAGTGAGAGAAAAAAATAAAAGTGGTTAGAATCTTCATTGTAGTGGAGCAAACGCCTCTATAAACTACCTTTGATGGCCATGAATGCAAAAGAATAATTATACCTGATCACCAGAAAAGTTCTCGAGAAATTTTTGTGTAACAGTGACCTCCCCTACCGCCTGGGCAAAGCTCTTTGGTGCAACCCGCTGGATGAGTCGGGCAAAGAACGTCTCGACCTAAAACATGACAAAAAAAAGCTGTAGCGAAACCTTTATAGTGATATAACTGACCCTCAAACAATCTCTCGATGCCCACTACAATTTACAGCGAACGACATACGCAAGCATGACAACGCTACAGATACATCAGATTACGATTTAATGTTATCTGAACCTCACAAATATTCCATTCTTTAACGGTGAAAAATGGCAGTGGAGACATTTCAAAAAAGAAACGTGCGCTTCTGGTTCAAATAGCTTGAATGGCCAGAGGAAAAAATTATGCGACCTATTCTGATCAACTCAAAACCAAATATGAGAACTGTCAGGGATCAAAGGGAATAAGGGAAATAAATAAATAAAACCTGAGGTTGCTTCAGCAAGTGAGCTGCCTTAGCCATGATATCTCCGTAAAGCAAGTATCTGCAGGAATGTGTTTTATAAAGAACCGATCTCAGCAAATTTTCACTTAACACCAACTTCACACCTTCCGGCCACACAATAAACACAATTTAAGCAACACATTGTTCAAAACACGCGTGTTCTCATATTGACGTGCATGAGCAGAAAAGGGTACCATCAGCCTTTGTGCAATAATAACAGTGCAAACTAAAACTGGCATCAGCTAGATTCAGGTAAAAAAGACTCCATAAGACGATCTCTCCGCATAAGAGCAAGCCCAAACAAGAACGAGGTTTCCGTGTGTTAGATTAATGATATCAACTTACGAAAATTACAAAGGCCTCTAATCCAACAATCCTCGATTGGCTAGGAACTTATAATCATTCTAAATTTGATAACCAGGTTTATAATTGCAACTGATGACAAGCATAACACACCTTTCGGGATTCTTAAGCGGGTTGTGCAGACCTGACTTTGAGCATGCCCGTAAGCTTTGTACAAATGGCTGTCATGACAGACACCCATAACCACATACTAAGATAATGTAGCCTTAAAACAACTGTTTTAAAAAATATTACAAATGAACTCTACATAACTTTTAGGTTCATATGCCTGACTAGATTCAAAAGAAATTATTCCCACCTTTTAACACGGATAAGGATACAGAAATTATGGGGACTAAGCATTTAAGAGCTTATGTTAAAGTCGAGAAGGATTGAGAGTGCACACCGATATTTCATCGATAGAGGTATCGGGAACAGATATGAATTTTTCCCCATTCAGAGGGTCCAGCAATTCAATTGATTTGGAAGTCTGCTCCCACTTTCCTTGCACTGCACAAATCTAAAAACCTTAGATATCTCGGAGTCAAGAAATAAGAAATTTGGAAGAATAAAATGTCTCCAGGATAAATCATACTTGATATTAAGTTTTTCGTTATGCAGGAGTGTTTAGGGCTTATATAACAATAATAATAGTACTGAACAAGATTCACAATAATAATAGTTCTGAACAATAATAATAGTACTGACCACAATCAGATCGAGGAATAGAAATTGTTTCAAAAATCAAATCAATCGTGTTACAATGCACTGAGGCTCTCCATTGTGCACAACTGATGAATACAACTTACCAAGGTTATGCATCTGGTACTGATGCGCTTCGGATAGTTTATCAGCATCGCAACTTGCAAATGAAAGAGACGATTGAGGTCTTCAAACATAGACAAAAGATTGAACTTGAATTAAGAGAGAGCCTATAGGAACTTTAAAAAAATCAAGTAAAATTTCAAGGTAGTCAGGCATAGTTATGAACATGCAGTACGATTGCGTAGAAAAGAAGCGAGATGTGTAGGTAAGCTCATACCTATGATCTGACAACAGAGTTGAGCTGCTTCGATGCGTAAAGGAAGGATGTAAGCACTCAGATGATGCTTTTCCAATAACCGATCGGCTGCGTCCATATACTGCACCAACGCGTTTAACAACGCACCGCTGCATTTTGAATACCCTTAGGTTTACCGGGTACTATACCTTCCTTTCTGCAACAGAGGGAAAGCGTTCAGTACCCCCGGTTGACAGTCAAGGGGTAATTCGTGTAATCTACCCGATAATTCCGATATCCTCAGATTGACCGTGATAGTTATAATGGGAAAATCTCAGACAACGACACAGACATGGTTTCTTCACCAGCTTGTGAAGGTCAAATAAGAGATACCATACCTTCACCCGAGACGTAAAGACCAATAACTGTTTACCACTACACCCCTCGGCCATTGCCAAAAATGAATAAAGACAGCGAATTAAGAAGAACAATGTACAATTCAGAACTCCCAGGTAAGAGACAATCCAACTGACTATAGGAGAGAACGTGATAACACAGAACAGGCAGCAGAGAAACCATCGCCAGCTCAGAGAAGCAACCAACACATCGAAGGGTCACTATCCATGAAAAACGTCAACCAATTCCACAGCACTCACTCAGAAGCGAAAAAAAAACTGTGAACACCCTCCAAAACTTCTCAATACCTCACAGCCTGCGACGCTTACGACGACTGCGAGGAGAAATCGAAAAGCTCAACATCACAACTCCATCAATTAATTAATCTCAAATCATTCAGGGCAACACGTCAGCGATTACAAACACATCACATAAAAATTTAAATAAAAGGTTATCCTATCAATCAAGTGCCAGGAACAATGGAACAAAAAGAGATCGTGACTCACAGAGATCACCAATGTTCGGACTCTCGCAACGCTTTCCTGCTCCGACTCACCTCACCTCACCGCAGAATTAAGCCAAATTAAGCGCCAAACGATGCTCGAGACTCTCTTAAATTTCCACTACCAGATGCATATTCACGATCGGCAGCTTCAAAGCGCAAGCAATCGAAGGAACGAGCGAAAAGCGAAAGCGGAAGTGGTGAAGAAGCCCGTTCGCGGTGCAGCTGCGACGAGATGACGACGGCCATAGGGGGCGTGCCCGTCCCGTCTCTCTCCGTGGCAGACGGTGCCGGGAATAGGGTAATGCCTCCCTACCTCCTCATGACCGTGCTGTCCGCGTCAGCATCCGACGTGTCGACAACTCATTCTAATGATGATGTGCCAGAATCCCTGAAGATATCGTGTGGAATATTTTATTTCGTAGGGAATCTTTGAATTGCGACCTCTCCAAACTAGATTTCATTACATGATTTACAATTTTAGAATCTTTACTATGCCTAAATTATGTGGGAATAACAGCTTGCCTGCCTATTTATGACGCAGGTCCACAATAATTCACCACATTTGTTATTTTTTTATACAATTAAATACTATTAAGTTCAAATTTTATTGTTTGCTCATAACATATTAAACAGTTGAGTCCAGTGGACATGAAATGGAAAAATTAATTAATTAATTAAAACAAAGAAATGAGTCAGTATTGTGATATCAGAGTTTACAAATTGTTGTATCTCAAACGATTTTGCATGTAAAATATGTACGTGTATATATATATATATACATATACATTTGTACAATATAATAACAAATTATAATTTAAAGATTATTTTTAAATATTGGTATTAGTGATGATATTAATTTTATATAGTTTAAGCTTAAAATGTTCATTCAATTTACTATCATAATCAGAATTCAAAAATAAAGTAAAAAAACTAGCCTGAAAATCATAAAATACAAATATTTCATCAATTAACAATCTAAGGAATATACAATGCAACCAATTTGTAGTCAGCTTACATTTGATATTTTACTTAGATATTAAGAGTGCAATTTACTTAGATATTGAGAGTGCAAAAAAACTCTTGACAAGAAGTTCATGTACATAGTATACATTAATGCTTTTATTTATTTATTTTAAGTGCTTGTAGATAGAAAGCATTCAAATAAATAAAAACTTAATTAGATTGATCTAAAAAAAGAATTAAAAAACAATGATGGTGGCTACAAAAACATTAAAAATGATATATTGTCAAGGATAAGAACTTCATGAAATCAAATAAATAAGTGAGACTTTCTCTCAAAGAAAAATGACAAAATGGAAATAAGAAAGTATGTATATTCAAAAAGAATTAGAATGGCTATGGCCAAAAGACAAGAAAACTATAGACCCTTGAAACTATACTAGAAGCAAGAAAGGACTTGACAAAAGTGAAGAAAGCTTCACTCTTGCCTCCAAATATACTATCAACTTATAAGCTACGTAGCGTCATTCTACAAGACCTTCAACATGTGTCTAATTTGTGAGATAGTTTTTTTAATTTGCAAAAGAAGTTTCCTACATGTGCACCACATTGTTAGCTTGTACCACAAACTACCAACATATGCAACATGTGGCTAACTTGTTGGCTAAGTTTCTAACCTCTTAGAGTAAATATGTATATTCATGACATATATTGTTCAATTTTGTATTATTAATTTTTTTATTATATATATAATTTAAAATTTTATAATTGTGAATTTTAAAATTAAATATATTGTATAAACTACTTGAGTATATCTTGCAAATATTTAAAAATTACAATATACTATTTGTAAATATATAGACAACACATAAAAGCTTAAAAATCATTTGAAATCTTTTTCTCTTTTTTCAATAAGTATTTTTTGGAAGTGAAGTACATTATTGTTATATTTAAATATTATCATAAAAAAACCATATATATATATATATATATATATATATAATATTTTAATGTATAGAATTCATTCTAAGCTAAATAAATTTGTAAAAATATTATATGCTTTTTAAAACATTAAAACAAAAATAATAAAAAGATATATTATAATATATTTTTTCTTCAAAAATTATAAATTATAACTAATTCGAAAATAAATAATATATTAAATCTTATTTAAAACTAAATTATAATATTAACAAACATTATGCATTATTAATCATGTTTATATAATGCATAAGCAAAAAAGCATGTCCAAATAATATTTCTATTCTCTCTTCTATCATCTAATGTGCAATAAAAAAATTATTAGTAAAAACTTTTAATTTTCTTGCAAAAACATAAATATAAAGGTATAATCATGTTGAAAGCCTTCACTACATTGTTGTTGACTAATATATATTATGATATAAAAATAATAAGAAAAACAAAAAAAAAACAAAACAAAACAAAACAAAAAATCATTGCTAGCATTGTTTACTTTTATCAATATCTATTAGACACATTAAAAATAAATTTGCATATTGTTGTTAATAAGGCATCAATACAAGCAAAATCATTAGATGTATTGATAATCATTTAACATATTACAAGTTTAAAATATTTCAATATTTTGATAAAGTTATTTTATATAATTTTAAAAGTTAAATTTTATTCAATTTAAAGTATTGAATTGATTTTTCAAATTCCATGACCTATTTGAATCTAGTGGTATTATTACATCTATTTTTAATATAAATTTTGTTTCTACTACTTCATGCAATGATTTTAAATTCACTAATAATATAACATCAATATAGACATAATGCATAAAAATATTTACTATTAAAAATATACAAATATTTGTATATAAATATATATATATATATATATATATATATATATTAAATTTCTTATTATGAAATAAATATAAAATTATGTGCAGATATATATATATATATATATATATATATATATATACACAATAAAATTAAGAAATTGCTAGATAGGCACTTGTCTTTTAGTGCATGAATACTCTCTTTTACAAATTTAAAATATAGAAGTTTTAAAGAGTAACAACAAGAAAATAACAAATAAAAATTATAATATACATATAACTATATATATATATATATATATATATATATATATATATTGTTAGTCTCAATAGCTATTTCATTGTTGTTTCATAGAATTTCTATAAAAAAACAAAATGTAAGCATATGTTCCATTTGCAAAAGAGGGATGTCTATAAAATAAAAGACAAATGTCCACCTAGGAGTTTTCGAAATTATTATTTTTAAATATTATCATCAATAGAATTCTAAACTTTATTTATTTAAAATGTTATATTCTAAAATTAAATAATATATATAATTTATTTATAAAATAATATCATAATAATTTATTATTAATTTTTTTATCTAATCTAACCAAATTACAATTATAAGAAATTGATTTAAGATTAAAATAATATTTTTTGAAAATAAAATTATTTCCAATAAAATTTATCTATATAAAAAAGTAAGTTCAATGTTATATATATGTGATTATTTTTTATTTAAATAATAACATATTAGAACCTTAAAATTATAGATTTTAATGTGTGTATATAAATTTATATAAATATATATATATATATATACACATACACAAACAAGCTTTAAGAAATTTTCTTATTTAATTTTTAGTTTAAAACATGTGGTTGAAATATTTCTAATTTAAAATCATTCAATTCAATAAATATTTTTAAGTATTGGTACACTACTAATATATTTAATCAAAGTTAATTACGCAAGAATGTAATAATGAAAATAACAACTCAACTTATTCCATGCTAAAGCTAAATAAATTGCTTTAGGTATATAATTTATTTAAGTTTTGTATTTAGTGGATTTTTTCCTTTTTTTATCATTAAATTTTTTAATATATATATATATATATATATATATCTCAATTGATTTATTGTTTTGATTTTTTAAATATATAAGGAGGACTTAGTTTCTAATCACATAGAAACCATTTCAAACTAGGAAAATAGATACATGTAATAAATAATCATTAAACTAAAAAATTTGAAAAAAATTAAATTCCTCGACTGCTAAATTGCTTGTTTATCTAGGTAGCATCATCAAGCCAAAAAAACACATCATCTCAGAACAATGAATTCTTCATGATACAAATTAGTTAAAAAAAACAATAATCATGATATGTTTGAGACCACCCAAATTTAATTATGCTGTCTCATGAGTGGAAAGCCCCTTTGTTGTCACACACACAAGTTATTTTCAACATTTTTTTAAATATATATTTCATAGTGTAATAGTTTATATTCAAAAAATTAAATTATATGCCTTATCCATTACACATTTGGTGCACTAGCACAAAGTGAAATCTTTTGCCCAACTTGAACAGTTTAGATGATAATCCAAACAACATTGTTTATTCACCCACTTGAGTTTCAAACTTATTTTACAAAGGTGCTAGTCTATGTCTTCTGGTATAAAATTCACATACTCTAAGACTCTGTTTACACACATGGAGTTTAGACTAAATGTCAAAAGTTTTCAACACTTGGGAAGGGCTCATTGCAAGCTTATGGCAGATCAGCACATATCACCACAGCCTCCACCAACCCAATTTCTAAAGCCATGTAGATGCAGTATTTGAGGAAGACAACTTGCCCTAGAAACATTACAAGCCAAAGACCTATGGCCTAGAAGTTCATCATGGTTTCACAGCCTGTGAGAGTCTTAAAAGACAACAAATACTGTCTCATCCTACAGTTCTCCTAGCAAGATCTCTATGTGCAGTCAAGTGAAACTGTGACAAACATTCTCAGAAGACCTTCATTTATCATCACTGAAAATACCCACATTCATTTTTTCACCTGTCTAGCTTTGTGTGATATAATTCTAGTGGAATGACATAGAAGCTGAAAAGGTACAAATTGGATGATTTCAGACAGATTCTGCGAGATAGTAATTGCTTTTAAGATAACCAAGCGCATGCATGCATTCCACTTCAACGAATCAAAGCAAACTTGTGGCAAGGGGTAGCTCAAAGAAGCTCTCGTCGAGAATTGTGTAGCAGTTAATGCCATTGATGGCAATCCCAACGTCAATGTGTTCCACATTGGCTAGACTGCAGAGTAAATTCATTAAAAACTCCTGTCAGCATATTGGAATATTTTGGTGTCATGTCTGCGAGATTCGGTAACAAATCATGTTGATTTTAAAATCATTGAAGGGAGCTTCATGCAGTGAAGAAGGTATGCACTTACAAGCGAAGTCTGCGTCTCTCAGCCGATATAGAAGCCTCAGGATCTGCCAACTATAACCATGCTCGCACTGGGAGCAGCAAACCACAATTTATAATGAGAACTGTCTTTGCTCATTGGTGCAAGCGAACTCTCGATTTCTTTGGTAACTCTGAGCAGCACGAATGATTAAAAACGAAACCTCGTTGAAAGATCTTGCCAGAAGCTAGATAATCATCACGACCACAATGGCCTCAAAATGATCAATTTGTTTGCATGTAGGGCAGTGCAAGGAATCAGGCGATCCAGGTCAATTCAACCAGTTCTAATAACAACCACTTCGAAACCTTGCCCATCTCACCAACCTAACAAATCACAAAAGGGGGAAATTTAGTGTGTAGTCTGCAAGAAATGGAGTCAGACCTTGATCTTCGCAAATCCTTTTCCAATTAACTGCACATGCTAAGGCTGAGAAAATCAGACTCCAAACACATTATACTGTGCAAGGTCAAAAAATAGTCAGGCACAGAATGGTGACGACTCTGATGGGAAAGGCAAGGGACTAGGGCTTGCCTGAGGATCATATACGTACCACATAATAGTGAACAAACTACGGGATGAGACATTTGTAGATCTTTTGTTTCTCTATAAGAAAGAAGACGGAGGAACAGTATCACACTGCACGCACGGCTACATGCCTAATCGCAACTGCTTCAGACTTCACATTTCATTAAGGATAAAATGTGCAACATGATGAACATGTTTCCATGAATATTTAGAGCATAAGCGGAGAATAATTTTCTTCATTGGTACCAAAATTGGCTCATCCCAGCTGGCAAGGATCAGTCTTGGCCCCTTATCCAACCCCCATTTCCATCTTAGAATTCCTTGCAAGCGTACCTTTGTGTGTGCTGTTTGGATATGGCATTAGGTTAGCTCCTCTAATCGTCCCACATCATGGCAGCAATTGAAGTGGTTTGCCAGTATTGTGAACAGAGCAGAACAAGAACAGCCAGCCTGGAATCCATGATGCCAATATCTGTAGCCTGCTCACTTCAAAAAGTTCGCGTATTCTGCTACGCATGAGTCACAAATTTCTCTCGCAGGACACGGATCTGTTTATAATAGTAAGCCAATTACAATCGTGATGCCTCCATCAATCCGATGCCAGGATGCTCCACGAGTTTCACCAAATATTCCAGCTAAGCTAGTGCAACCCATAAAATCCTCTTCTCGCAACACTCGCAGGTCTTTACCATCCATTTCGGTGTGAAACTACCTTACTAACCATAAACTTGAATTCACCCCTTGCAGCTAAATGCACTGATGAAAGGTCTGCCCCTCGTTGCTTCTTCCTCTTCTTCAGAAAAAAAAAATTACTCTAAAAAATACCCCCCTCTCACACACTTCCTTGACAATCCATCCAATCCATCCCTTCATTAACTCTCATGATCCTGGACCCCTGATACTCCACATAACGTTGCTCTTCTCGTGCCGCACATCCTTGCTCAGCTTCTACCAATCTCTATTACGCATTAATACGGGTCACTAGTGTTCCTGCTACCACTACTCCAACAATAAATAGAGGTCTCACCGGATACATGTACAACGTGTGGAGAGCAAGAAATGTGGATGCTCCAGGACTCCTTCAGTAACAATGCAGCTGCATCCATGATGCTGACAAGCACGAGAACGTTCTGGTCCGGGTACCCATCGAGCTCGGTAACCAGCAGTCATGGCAGAGCAGACTCACATCATCGTATCAGACGCTCCAAAGAGACATAACCACTCCTAGGGACGAGTATAAATGTGAAACAAATGCACAAAGAAAAAAGAGAATCCCACAGTACCCACGTCTGCAAAGCGCGATGTAGAGCCGAGGCTAGCAATTGTTGATTGAATCTGGGCGAGTGGCGAATGCCTGCTATTTTTCTAGTTCGTCCTGCATGTTGTGTGCACCGCGAACACGAGGAATTCGTCGGATCACAGCTCGTGTAAACGAAAACCACTTCACGTCGGATTCCGCGACGATGGGGTCGAGTGAGCGGCGATTGTTTCACTCGCATCTTTGGTTTGGCCTCGAGGACCGACCTCCGAGGCCACCCAACTCTTTTGAAAATGTTCACCGACTTCACAGTTCTTTATGCACACATATATATCTATACAATTAGTCAGTCACGCACAGACATACGAGGTTGTATTCTTTAGAACATTCCTGTTAGAGAGTTCCTAAAAGAGGAAATAAGTGCCTATGCCTTTGAATTATATTTTTAGTTTTTAATTCATATATGTTTTTGTAGATACAGAAAACAATCAAATATTTGTGAAAATGATAAGTGATACCAAAATTGCCGTAATCCAAATTGCACACGCATAGGTTTTAAACCACAAAATCGTGTGAAGTGAGTGTGAAAGTCCAACAACCAACTTGTCTGTTTAACAGTTTTGCGTTCATTAAACTTAAATATAACAAGGCAAGGAATGCGGCATATCCTTCCCCAGTGTGCTCTTCATGCTACCCACACTAAATATTACTCATTTATTCTATAATCAATAAGGGGATTCCCTGACTGTTAACTATAAACAGAATACCCCGTTCACACTTAATCATTTTATCTTTCCTTTTCAGTATCTTTTTCTTTATCCATTTGTGCAAAAGAAAGGAGTGGAGGGACCCTCCACATCCATTGAAGAAGTAGTTTTTTTCTTTTGTGGTGGGGTTGGGCCATTGGATGCCATTCGATGCAGGATGCTGCTCCCATGCTTTCCACCCCTCACTCATAGGGCTTCATCCCCTCTCTAAACCCTAATCCATCCACTAAACCCTAATTCTCCTCCCACACGGACATTGAACGAGTGTTTCTCACAATCCCACTCAATATACCAATGTCCCACAAAATGGAAAGATTACCATAATCAAAGCTTACAAGATGATGAACTTAATGTAAAAAGACAAAAAAAAGTAAAGAGTGGACAATGTCGCAGGTGAATAAAATGGTGAAATGGTGTGTGCTAGAGATGGATTGGTTTCGTACGACAATATGGATTGATGCAATAGGGAATTAGAGTTCCCATGGTGGGAGCGTGCTCGCTTGGGCGCCAGCCATTGCTTCGTGGCAAGTCTACAGGAAGGGCCAAAATCCAAAGGGAGACGCGTTTCTGGCAGAAGAGGGGAAGACGACGAGGAGGAAGACGAGCTCTCTCTCTCTCGTCCTCGCTCTCACGAAAGGAGAACTTTGGGAGAGTCTGTGCCAGACTCTGCGTCTCTGCCTTCGGCTTGTCTCTATCGCATCCATCCTCCACCTCCGCTATTCGTTTATCGGCATTTTTACGTTTTTACGTTCTTTTTTTTTTTCTTTTTTCTTTTTTTGTTTTTTTTTTGGAGGTTTTTTTTTAAGAAAAAGAATGAATTATTGCAATTGGAGAGTGTGTCAATGGGACCGGATTGATTGAAGCAGAGGGGATGTGAGTGAGTTGATGCAAGGGAGGTTCCATGCGCAGAATTATTGATTAGAGGATTGCGAATTTTGGAATTCGGAGGAGGTCGGAAGGGGTGGGAAGTGGTGGTTCTGTGGATTAGGGTTCGAGGTGGCAAGGAGAGGGGAGTCAGTGCAACGGGCTGTGGTGGTGCCAGAGGGATGGCGACGGCCGTGTGGCAGCCGCAGGCAGCGGAGTTGAAGGAGATTTGCGGGTTGCTAGAGCAGTACCGGTTGCCCACTGCGGACCAGTCGCGGGTTTGGCAACAGCATCAGCGTTGTAGCCAGCTGCCGGACTTCAACAATTATCTCGCCTTCATCCTATGTCATGCCGAGGTTCTTCACTATCTATCTCTCCCTCCGCTGCGCTTAAAATGGCGAAGAGTGTCAGATTTTGGAAGAAGAAAAAAAAAAAAAAAAAAAAAAAAAAAAAACTACTTGGTGCAGCTTTAGTGGAAGGTCCATGCGCACTGGTTTTAAAACACGAAAATTGATAAATAGCTGCAAGTGTCAATCTGCAGGCGTGGCGTCGGTATTGTTCTATTTAGATTGGCTTTGTAGACACGGTGCCCTACAGGGCGATGTTTCGGGTGTTTTCTTGTGAAGATTTTCGCACACTGTTTGTGCGCTACTATTCTGTTAGTCTACTCACACAATAGTGATTTCCTCTTGTATAATCAATGTAATCGATGTGCCCGGCATCGACACGCTTCGTGCTATTGCGGCTCATGCATGGAGTCCTTGTGGCCACATGTTTATGTAGGGGCTTTATGTTAGGGCATTTAGAGAGAGCTCTTGTTTTCATGGGAGCGTTGAGTAGTTCTATGGCCATTTACACTGTATGGGACTTTCTAGGGTTGTTATGGCCGGAAGAGCATGTGGTGTGCGATTGACGACTTCTCTACCGGATTCTTTTCTAATGATGTACACAAAGTTCAAATAGCTAATAATCCAACATTATCTTCAGTCTCAAACGCGGTATCGTCTAGAGACTGCATTTAAGATGCGCAATCGAATGATCGAATCAATGGCATTTGAATGACTAGTCTCGAAGTTTTTCAGTCTGATGCCTTCTCATGCCGTTGCTTAAATGCTCACAATTCAATTGTGGTTACATCGAATCACGGTTGTAAATGCGCATTTGGACTTCGTACCGTCGGGTGCAGCTGGATAGATCACTGTTACAACACCACATTTATCGTCCCGCTCTTACTAAGTTAGAACAGATTGAATATTAAACGCTCGGTTCTTTACTAACCAACGTTACAAGACCTTTGCTATATAAGGTCACCACATTTCATTTTAAAGAATCATCTTCAAATCTTGACACCGCCTTTTGATTGCAGGGAGATGCTGTCAATATACGACAAGCAGCAGGTTTGCTGTTAAAGAATAACCTGAAAAGCAGTTACCACTTAGTCCATCCTCTGCACATTCAGTATATCAAGGCGGAAGTGTTGCCATGTCTTGGATCTCCAGACTTAGGTGTTCGATCCACTGTTGGTACTATAGTGAGTGTTATGGTACAGCAAGGGGGTTTTCAAGGCTGGCCAGAAGTTCTTCAGGCATTGATTCAATGCCTAGACAGCCATGATTATAATCATATGGAGGGAGCATTGGGTGCACTTTTCAAGGTGTAGTATTCTTCGTTTTTTCTAAATTGTTTTCTAGGGACCTTGGTAATACTCAGTAAGTGTGTGAATAGCATGTTAAAGTTTCATACTACGTTCTCCTTTTTTGAATTTTTTTTTGAATGTCCAGAACATTATGCACGTCATTATTCAGCTTTGTAGAATCAAGTGGAACGCTTCTGCCCCTTGGGGACGACGCAGTTCTCTGTGTAGTGTTCGCTTTTAATGTCGAAGAAGATTCATTTGTTCATCTGCTCAGCTCGTCTGTTTGGGTAACGTGGATATTCCAGGTTCCATCACGTTACAACAAGTGTTTAAGTAATATTGTACCTTTTGGCAGTGCAGATCTCAGAAGAAATGCCTGAACTAATGGATATGGATGTGGCTGGATTATCAGAACGTCCAATCACAGGTTTTCTTCCTAGGTTGCTGAAGGTAAGCGTTGGACTTGGAAGTTTGAGTTTTTACTTGCAGTGTAGGAATGATGATGATGGAACAGTTCCCATAGGACATTGTCAAGTGTTGGACTAGAGCGTACGTTGACCTTTTATTTTGTTCCTTCTGCAGTTTTTATCTTCTGAACATGCTGTGTTGCGAAGACTAGCATTGGGTGCCATCAACCAGTTCATTGTTCTCATGCCAACTGTAAGCTCTGACCCTGTTCTCTCTTAGACTTGATCACCATTTTACATGGTCTGATGAAGCATTACCCCAGGATTAAAGATACTTGTTAGCCATATATCCTTAGGTGTAACAGATTATATATTCTGACGTATAATATATGTAAGCTGCTGTCTACATTTTTGCACTCACATCCATTCTTGCTTTTTCGTTTTCTTTCTCATGTTTCACTTGGAAAGTGTATTGACACTCTCAAAGTTCAAAAGTTCACAAATATTAGTGTTATCAAGATTTGTTCTTGCTGTGGCTGTAACTGGTTCATTGTTTCTTCTATGGTTTAGGCCCTATTTATTCATATGGACAATTACCTTCAAAGCTTGTTCTCATTAGCAAATGATAACTCTGCCGATGTTCGTAAATTGGTAAGTATGCATCTTTAAGTGAGGGACATTGTTTTCGATACAATTATGCCTAATTTGTTGTTTTCAGTAGTAGCTTCTCTGCATATGCGTTCTACTTCTTTCGACTGTTCTTTAGGAAAACAGAATTAGAAACAAGTAAGTTTGAAGTTGGGTAGAAGGTATCTGAACCGTTCCATGCTGAATCGCCTTACAGAAAGTTGTTTTCATTGCACATATTTCTCAAGTAGAAGTGCTATAACATGTGGTGTTTTGAGTGTATTAAACAGGTCTGTGCTGCTCTCGTGCAATTATTGGAAATTCAACCTCATGTTCTGGAGCCACACATGCAAAATGTGATAGAGTACATGCTGCAAGCCAATAACGACACTGATACGGAAGTGGCTTTAGAGGCATGTGAATTCTGGTGGGTTGAGATTCGACAAACCGTTGAGTTTCAGATTGTTGTGATGATTTCTTAAAATCATGCCAAGCTTGAAGCCAATTGAATGTGTAAATATCAACATGCATGGTTGTGCCCTGAAGATGTTGGCTTGGCAGGTCTGCTTATTGTGAAGCACAATTACCTCCTGAATTGCTTCGAGGGTTTCTGCCTCGTCTCATCGATGTAAGTTGTAGTGGGTCTTGATTGGGAAGTTGAAGAGTGAACACATCATGTTGTGAGTTGACTCATAACATGATTTACATGTTTGAATTGTAGAGCTAGCTCATAAGTAGGTTTAGATTTTTAATTGTGAGTGCATTAGTACCTCTGGTCTATACGAAAACATGTTACAAAACTTATTCAACAACATATTTGCAGATTTTGTTGGACAACATGGTATACGCGGAGGACGACGAAGCTTTACAGGATGGTGATGTAAGAATATAATCATCGTGTGTTATTTTCTGCAAAGTTATTTATCTGGTGTTTTCCTGGATCGTTCAGACAGTTTTATTTGTTGTTGTTGTACGACGATTATGTATGAAGGGTTTTTAGCCATTTTTAATATCATTGTATAAGCTTTTTGGGGTTATGCATTTACGACGTATTCTGGATCGTGCAGGAAGATGAGAATGCACCTGATAGAGACCAGGTAACTTCAATTCGCTGAGCTGTTGGTTGATTTTCGGATTATAATGCGGTCAAATTCTAGTAGATGCCGTCCTGGATTTTAGCGAAGGGCTAAAGGTGCAGTCTGATGTATGGTTACATGCTCAAAATAGACAGGTGTCTGATGACGATAAACCTTAAATACTTCGTGGTGATCGTACTAACTTTGGGCATTAAAATCGCCTGGTTTGCCATATAGGATATCAAACCAAGGTTCCATCAATCGCGCTGTCATGGATCTGATGGAGCCGAAGTCGATGAGGTGCCGCCTCTGCAGTTCCCCTCATCAATGCTGGCTTTCCCTTGCATTCCTGTGGTCTGTTCTTACCCGTTGGTCTTGTGATGAGCTTAACCCACGGTTAAGGGTGCGAATAACGTTCTTTTTGCTATTTGAACTGGTAAGGTAATACAAAGTAAGGCATTCCTTGTTGATCAGAGGATTGGCCTCAACATCCTCTTCAAATTTGATGGTTTTAGTGAAAGACTTAAAGTTTCAGTTACTGTGAAATCAGTGCTCAGGAGAGTTTGCTATGCTGGTTCTCACATCTCTACTTTGTGATTCTTTTCTACAGGACGATGATGATATAATAAATTCCTGGAACTTGCGAAAATGTAGTGCAGCTGGACTTGATATTTTATCAACTGTATTTGGAGATGAGATTCTTCCAGTTCTTATGCCTCTTGTGCAGGTATTTGCCTTGATGTTGTCCATGATAGAGTCGTAGTTCATTAAATTGGTCATCTTTTAAACTATTAAGTACTATTGTGTTCCTGTGGTGTCGGTTTTAGAAGCATCATCATGCTCGTAGTTCTCCCTTGTCCCTTCTAAAGTCCAGAAACTCTTTGAATCACGTTGTTCATCCAGTATGTTCTGCGTCTCTAGCACCCTGCGTGCCTTATTTGTAATAGCTGATTCTAATAACTATCGTGGAGGACATGTTGTACTGTAGCATTGACAATAATGTTAAATCTCTCTTCTGTCTTTACTCACATAAACACCGTATGGTGTAGGTGAGGCTTGGCCTGAGCAAGGATGGTCGTTGGGAGGAGAAAGAAGCAGCTATTTTAGCTTTAGGAGCAGTTGCAGAAGGTTGCATATCTGGATTATTACCCCATTTAGCACAGGTTTGATACTTTTAAACTTTCACTATCCTTCACCTTTAACATTGAATTTGTCATATTTGTTGATTAGAGAGCTAAGCTTTGATCTAATTTCCTATATGCATGCCTTGACAACCGTTTCAGTAGCCATCTAGCCTAGTTACGTTATGCTGTATCTTCTGGTTATTCATTCTTTTTATTATTCTTATTATTATCACTCAGTAGTAGGTGTTAGGATCAGAAAGCTGACAAATCTGTCACTTTCCTACTCGTAAAATGTGGGGGAGGAAATCTTGTAGGGTGCTAATATACATGTGCAAATTATCTGTTGAGTTCTAATGATTGTTGGTCAATTGTCCAGATTGTAACGTACCTTATTTCTTTCATGGAAGATTCACGGCCACTTGTGCGAAGCATATCATGCTGGACATTATCACGTTACAGCAAATGGATTGTTCAGGTGGTAGCACAGAATTTGATTTAGATCCCTCTAAGTCTTGCAGATGAATGATTGTTATTGTATGCGATCAAAAAGGACGAATTTGGCGTAGAATTACACGGGGATGTTAAGTCTTTTGAAAATTGTAGCGAATATTAATGCTATTTTATTTTCAGCTTATTTTTGTGACTCTTCATAGGAAAAAACACTAAAATCTCCACATGAACAGGTAGCACAGTCTCCAGAGGGACAATCGCAATTTGATGCTGTACTTACAGGGTTGCTTAAACGCATTCTGGATAGCAATAAGCGTGTGCAGGAAGCTGCGTGTTCCGCATTTGCCACTCTCGAAGAGGTAATTATGTACTACTGTTGAACACCTGCATCTTAGCCCTTCCGCAGGTCGTCCCTCTTGTTTATTAATGGTCCCTTGCATCCAAATTGTTCGAATGTTGTGTGTATGACCTGAACAGCAATTTGTTCTTTGCAGTTTCGATCATCTGTAAGTATGATTATGATTTTACCCATAATTGATTTCTGACCTGTTATAATTTTGCAGGAAGCCGCTGAAGATCTAGCTCCTAGATTGGAACCCATATTACAACATCTAATGTATGCTTTTGGGATTTACCAGGTGGGTAACGAAACGCAAGATCTTGGTGTCTATGCATGACTTACACATTTGCAGCGTACTTGAATATATTTTTGGTTCTCTTAGAGAACTCAAATTATGATTTTCTTTTCAGAGTTTCATTAATTTAACTCTCTTCTAAAACAAGCTTTTCAAGTTTTTGAGCTCAAAACAACTCGTTAGGCAGTACAAAGTATAGGAGTGTGGGACGAACTTCTGGACTTAATATTATTGTCTACTATTTCGTCAACTCGGTCCGTAAACTTATTATTACAAACTACTGGAATCTTTTTGAAAGACATGATGTAAACGACAGGCATCGCATAATGAACTAGTTGCACAATTCATTATTTGTGTTCCAATTGTTGAGTCTCTGCTCTCTAAGTCAATCAACTATATTACATATTACTTTGTGTTTTTTTGGTTGAACAGAGACGTAATCTTCGTATTTTATATGACGCAATCGGTACTTTAGCAGATGCTGTCGGCAGTGAGCTTAATGATGTACGTAACTTCATATCTCTATTCCCCTCATTGATTGCGTTCTCTTCCAGTTACTGAGGCCTTGTCAGGAGTTTCGGAGACGGCTTATGTTTGCATTCGTCGACTATTACGTGGAAAGTATAGTTGTCTTGTAATCTGGTGGTTGGTGGTTGTGTTTGTAGCTGGGAAGTGACATCTTTGCGTCTAATTTTTTTTTCGTACCTTGCAGCCAAAATACCTGGAAATCTTAATGCATCCGTTGATTTCTAAGTGGCAGCAACTGCCAGACACAGATAGAGACCTGTTTCCCCTGCTTGAATGTTTTACTTCCATAGCACAGGTATAGTCTCGTTCTTTTGATGATTTTATCTATAAACACAGAGTGATCAATAGAACCCTTTACTGATTAGACATTTCTAGTGATGTGCTTTGTCATGTCTATGTTTGTCTTCCTGTTCACAGCATGTTATTCTATTTGCTCTCTACCTGATGAGATTCACTTTTCATTTTAATTTTTTCTAAATACCAGATAAGCCGTCGCTGTATGAGGATTAACATTTTGTTTATGTTAACAGGCCCTCGGTCCAGGCTTTACCCAGTATGCAGAACCTGTTTTTCTTAGGTGCATCAATCTTATTCGTACACATCAAGTTGCAAAGGTATATTGGTGTATCCCGTCACAAAAGCAATTTTTAGTTCATTTATTTGTTGCTTTAAGCTTGGATTTTCTGAGTTTGACTGTCTGTTATTAAATATGTTGATGCGTGCTTGCAGACGGATCCTCAAAGGGCTGGGGTAAACTACGACAAAGAGTTTATCGTTTGCTCTTTGGATCTACTATCTGGTCTTGCAGAGGGCCTTGGCAGCAGCATCGAGAGTTTGGTAATAACTTTATTTTTTACAGTGTCGCGACAAATTCCCAATTTGACAGCTAGTAACCACGTTTTGGCTCAATAAGATCTTCGTAAAACTGCTTCTTATTCCTGACAATTTTGATATTTCCTGCCTGTTTCAGGTCGGAAGGAGTGATCTTCGAGACCTCTTACTTCAGTGCTGTGCTGACGAAGCCCCGGATGTGCGTCAAAGTGCTTTGGCTCTACTAGGTGACCTTGTTAAGGTATTAATTTCTTGAGAATAGGCTTTATCTGTGTCCTATCCTTGTATGTCGCAATGCATATATTTCATCTATATCTTGAAGTTGACTATATCTGTTATCTGTGTTAAATTGATACTGACTCCTGGACTTGAGCAGACATGTGCGATTCACTTGCAGCCCCGTCTGGCGGAGTTCTTGAGTCTAGCAGCCAAGCAGCTGGTAGGTATTCGTGCCTGCCATGCACTTGGTAAAATGTAAGTATTTATTCAGTAGTCGGAGCCTGCAACTTACTAACTTACTACTTACTTACTACTTGCGTGGACGCTGTGTATGGCAGGGACAAGATGCTAAAGAAAATGTTTCAGTTGCTAACAATGCTTGCTGGGCCATCGGTGAAGTCGCCATTAAGGTATGACTCCTGTGTTCTGAAATGATGAATCAAAGTAGGTAGTGTTTGTAATCAGTTAGGATTTTTATGCTCCAGAAACTATATTTGGTCAAAACCTCTTTGTCTTTAATGTACAGTTTCATGGTATACATCTAATTGATGGCAATCCTTGCTGGAATGGGATTGTAATGTGACTTTTTTTTTATGATTCCCTTCATGCACTTCGCCACATGATTGGAATCTCTGATTGTGTTGTTGATTTGGCTTTTGATCATTTCAGGTTAGAAAAGAGGTCTCACCTATTGTGATGACTGTCATCTCATCGCTGGTGCCCATCCTCTCAAACATTGAGGTATACTGACATTTTTATGATAAATGCGTATCTAAATTCATACAGTTGAAAGTAGGATGCTTTGTGGATATCATTTATTTACTGCTATTCTTGACATGTGGTGATTGAAGTTGTCATTAAGCTGGATATTAACATGCAGGGTTTAAACAAGTCGCTTCTGGAGAATAGCGCCATAACCTTGGGCAGACTAGGGTGGGTTTGTCCAGAGCTCGTGGCTCCCCACATGGAGCATTTTATGCAGGCTTGGTGTCGAGCACTTTGCATGTAAACTTCCTGCCTCAAATCCTAGCCATTCTTGTAGCCTCGCCCATCTTTTATTTTATTTTATTTTCGTTTTATTTATTCATTTATTTGTGCATTCACGCACTTCTGAAACTAAAATAATACACTAGATCTCATTTGTGAAAAACATCTTCAACCGAGGTTGTGTATGTTTTTGAGGTTGTGTTTGAGGTTGTTTGCGTTTGTATGATGATAATGAAGAAGTCAGTCCCTTTTACTCATGATGCACTGAAATATATCTTGCTTGCAGGATACGAGATGATTTTGAGAAGGAAGATGCATTCCGGGGCTTGTGTGCCATGGTATGATGGCTTTTTGTGGTTACATAAGTTTTATGGCAACTTGCAGCTGTTCCTGTTTGAATTGGAGTTCAGTGCTCCCTTGTTTTAGAATTCTTCTGATTTTTCTGTTGGTATTTTTATATTTTCAAATAGCTTGAAAAATAAGTTGGGTGTTGAAGCTATTCCTAATATTGACCTTCTGTACTTTTATCCTGTTGTGTTTGGCTAATAGGTACGGCTGAACCCAGGAGGTGCTGTGAACTCATTTGTTTCAATGTGTGAGGCCATCGGGAGTTGGCATGTAAGTGCTTTCTAACAAGGCGTCGGTACCATGTGATTAGAATCAAAGTTGTCCTTGTCTCATTTCTTTTTGGGTGGCACTGCCAAGTTGAAATAGTTTGCATATTCTGCCCTCTCACCGTCATTTAGGTGTCCATGAATCATGCAGCTGAGAGATCATCCTTTCTTTTCTTTTTTCATTTAGGAAATTCGAAGTCAGGAGCTCTCATCAGAGATTACGCAAGTATTACTTGGTTATAAGCAGGTAATAATAATTGCATTTGGTGTTCGTCCTTTGTTGTTGGTGAAAAATTTGCAAGTCCAAATCAGTGCTTATAATTTAGTAACCGATTGTACGAGTTAGCAAGTTACGAGTATCTGGTTTTGAACTACCTCTTGTTGATTACTTTCAGTGTACATTTTTCTTCCTTCTTGACCTTTCTACGCTCACAGCATTAAAAGCCAGCTTGCCTAGCCTTTTCTAGTTGAACTTGACATGATTGAATATCGTTTTAATGCAGATGCTGTCCCAGAATAACTCTTGGGGGCAGTACTTTGGAGCTCTTGACGGGAAATTGCGCGAAAAACTGGCTAAAATTTATTCACTTTGAGATCTGCAATCAGCTGTGTATAGTTTCTGATACTGGAAACATTCTACCCTGGTCCTGCTCGTAAGTTCCACTAAACGGGTGCCTCGCACTTGGATGCTTCTGGTTCATTCAAGCATGGCTGTCCGGTCAAGAACTTGTTAATAGTGAGAATGAGATGTAGATCCCATCCTAATGTACCTATTCCAGGATTGCTGAGGCTTGCTGGTCCTCATGATCTTGCACTGGTTGTTTGGAGTTGGGTCAGGAGAGTTTTTTATGTTGTTATCTTCCCCTTCATGGGACAGCGGGTCTTTGATTTCACATTAATGTTATGGCTCTGTGGCCATACTGTTACAACAGGGGACTGGATGCATTTCTACGAAGTAAGATGCAAAGCTAGACCCCTGGTAGTATGGTATTACTGCAGCTTGAATCTCAGGAGCCACACACTGTAGCACCTGAAGCTCTTGATCAAAGAGCGGTTAGTACAGACGCGGTTCGTGGTTTTTGTAATCAGGAGGCGACATGCCACCTCATCCCAGTTTTAAGTGCAAGTTAGAGAGGAGAGAAATGTGAGGAGGCGTTAGTTTTGTCACAGCGGGAACTACTTCCCTAGGTGTTTCATGCCGGCTTAGCTAGGCATGAAGAGATGTCTGTTAAAGGTGAATTGTCCTTTATGATGTCAATATTATGTGATGTTCGGTTTTTGAACATCCCAGCGTTTGTGGGTGGCCTGATCACATCTATCTTATTCCTATCGAAGCATAGAGTCTTAATTTATTCTGTGAAGAGTTATGTCAAAAATGTTTCTTCAAGATCACATTCAGTGAATTGTCATATTGTACGCTTTTCGTCCATTAATGTCTCTCGGGCTCATTGTTTGGTGTCATGCGTTGATATATCCTGTAAAACTACATGTTGGTAGCACTACAAGGACCTGTCACGCTGTCTGACAAAACATTTCATGTTGCCTAGTTATTAGACTACTTGAAAATCTGCAACCGTGTACCCGGCGTACGCATGTGAGTCCACATTTCAACCTGATATATACTAGTTCAAGGTAAGACAATTGTGACATTCCATTACAGAAGGTCTCATTTCACTTTGATTACTGTGGTACAAAACGATAAATTTTAGAGCTTACCTTAATGTAATACTTTGATCAAAGCAATAAAGATGAAAAATTAATAGTGAAATTCCTCTTCTGTGCTTATCTTCCAACCGTGTATGTCGCACATTGCTCACATGATGCTTATCCAACCGTTGAAATCTACTTGCTGTTTTGCATTTCAGTTGCACCACTTCATGTATTTCCATGCCCTACACATATGCACATGAAAATGATTTTTATTATCTTTTTTTCTGAAATAAATTGGTTGGATTCTATTCAAATAAAAGAACGTATGATACCATAACTAAAATGTGGGTTTGTATTCACGTTAATGGATTAATTTCTTCTTGACACGATAAGTGACATTTTACTTTATGTCAAATTTTAGTAAAAGTTTTAAAAGAATACTCTTTCTATTTATTTTGGTCTTCTGTGGAAGTACATAATTTTCTTTTGTTTTTGTTTGCCTATCATTTGGTTTTAATATACTGATACTAATTTAATCCATTTAAATTTTTTGGTTTGTTATTGTGATGCATATTACTTCTCTAATGTCACATGGTTTACATTTATAATACAAAACGTGGACATTGATTTTTGTTTAAAAATATTTTATGTTATCTTTTTATGCTGAAAATAATGATGTGATAATTATATCCAGTACAATGTAATACAATTAGATTTAAAATGTTAAATTTAACAACAACAAAGTTATGTACAAAAATAAGTGAATTAATAGACAAAATTAGAGGAATTTAGATTTTAAGACATGTTATCTTCATAGAATTTCACTTGTTTACAAATCATTTTATATTTTATGTTTGTATAACTATATTAATAGTTGTGTGATAAGTGTGGCAAAAAATGTCTATAAAAATATTGTTTAATTTGAAGCTGAATGAAAAGTTGCTAATCTTGCAAGTAATAATATAGGTAGGAGTGATTTTGAGGTTATGTTTTGTACACACAACCACACAAACGCGCGCACACACACACACACACAGAGTGACGTGTTCGAAAAGCCTGGTCGACGTGGCAGCCACGTCGACTCGAACTCCCGCGGTGAAGTGGCGAAATGGCGCCAATACCAGCGCGGGAGGGAGTGCGTTAGGGCTCCAACAGCTTCTCGGCCCTCGTTCGCTCGCTCGCATCGCATCGCATCGCTCTTTGTTTCTTTCTTTTCCTTCATTTAATCAAATGTGTTCTGTGTTCGTTGTTGCACCGGGGATTTTGCTCATCGGACCCTGCGAAATCCCCTCCAAATTCCATGCCCTCTGTAGCGCTGGAGGACATCGCTTTTGTCCCCCCCTGATGAGATGACTGGTGCAGCAAAATCTTCCAGGACCAGTGCTGTTGATGAATTTGCCACTTGCGTCCCATAGCCGTTTGCCGTTGTGTGTTCAAGCACTGCGACCTCGCCGGTCGACAGCCTTGGTTCGTTTGCCTTCCACCGCCTTGCTTAGTTGCCAGTTGTGGAGGTTTAGGGCGCTTAGGATTGGGCTGTAGCGGGGTTGTTCGGGCGGGTGGCTTCTTGGCCCGCCTTTCTTTCTTGTTGCGGGTCGTGCTATGATAGGTCTGCGCGTAAGCGCGTGCGTTTCTGAATCCATGGCGTTTAGTTTGTTGTTAACTGAAGATTTAAGGTTTTTTTTGGTCACAGGGTTTTGGGTACCGTTGAATTTGGTGTGGATTGTTTTGCTGCGATGTGAGTTGGTTGGTGTTGGGGACGAGAGGGATTGGGCAAGCCTGGAGTTGGTTTGAACGAGTGGTGGCGTTGGTTTTTGTGGAGGAGTATTCTCGCAGCATGCCCCTGGGTGTCGGTGACCCTCTCGGTCTTGGGAGATCAGGTGCTTGTCTCGTCTCTCATGGATGTGACCGTTGGAGGTGACCTTGCACGTGGGCAGTAGCTAGGGTGAAAATTGGTGAAATCTCGTGTTGTCGAGCCATGTGCGTCGCATGTTTCAGCTCGCATTTTTGTAGCATTACTAATGAGGCTGTTGAATTCACCAATCCTTCAGGTAATCTCGGTAGGAGGAGAGAGATGGCTAAACAGGTCAGCAAACAGAGTATTGCCGAAATGCGGGCTATAGTGGGCGTAGATCCTAGTGAAATGGACCTAATTCGAGCTCTTCACTTAGCAGGAAACGACGTCGCTGCGGCTGTGAACATTTATTTCGATACTCCAAAATCCAATTTCGCTTCAAAACCTAAAATTCCACGTCGACCTGTAAGAGCAGTTAGCTCTAGTACGCAAGTGCGCCCTTCTTATCAAAGATCAAATTCATCTTCCTCCAGCCTTAGTCAACCTTCAAACCATTCTAGCATACCAAAAGCTCCTGCAGAAAGATATTCGAATTCTGCGAATATGACGAATATTTCTGATGCCAGGCCTAGTCCAGAATTAGCTTCACCAAGAGCTCACGCAGCTCCTGACCGGCCACCTCCTGTTGACTACCCTTCTCATGCAGACTCCGAACACACACGCATTGAACTCAAATCAAGAAATGCCGACAGTAATGTACATAGGATGCAAGGTATTTCCCCAGGTTCTTGTAGCGCAGGTTCTTCGGAGGCGGTGTTTATAGATCAGCTTGCGCCTGCGGTTGAGACTCTGTCACCAGGCGTCTCTTCTCCGAATCCTGCGGAGGATAACTGCGTATGTATCTTGTTCCCTCTGCATGATTGGAGGCCCAATACACGTATACTTATTCTTGCTCAAAACAAACAGCAGTAACTATGTTCGGTGTGAATGAACGAAATTTGATGTTTTCTGAGGAGTATTTTGCTCACCTTCCTGCCGTCGTGATTTAACGAGACCCTGTAGTCATTGATTTGAAGATAATCCCACTTGCACCGAGGTGAACAGAAAAGAAATGTTGTGCATATCTCCTAGTGATTACGACGTAAATGATTTGATGCAGACTCAACAATTCGGTCCTGCTCTTATGCCAAGTTTTGATTTATTCCCAAGCGACCCGGACATGTCCACAGTGTCTACCATTCCGGTGGTTCCAAGTCTCGGAGACAAACCACATAATTCGTTTCCAAATGATCCTGACCTGTCTGTTCTCTCCGTCGTTCCCGGTGCCCCCAAAAGGTCTGTCCGTATGTTTCCAAGTTGCGCAGGCGAATCGTTGTCTACTGTAGTCCGGAGTGCCTCGGACAAGAACTGGCTTCTCCTTGGTGAAGCAGAGGTTGTTGGGTATTCTACGTGCAAGGGTCCTAAGCTTCAAGCTGGAGATCTCTTGCAGTTCAATTTTCCCAAGCCAGCTGTCGCAGCGGATGTCAGAAAGGGACCCTGGGGAAGAGGCAAGGGTGCATCAACTGCTGCTGAAATCGTTCGATTTTCTTGCCAAAGATCAGGAGAGGTAGCAACTCGTCGTTCCCTTGGGTCCAAATTTGTTACCACTTGCTTTCCTTTTTAATAAGTGACAAAAAGTTTGATTATCGTTGTGTCCTGCTAGCCAGTTTGCTGTAGCAACAGAAGTGCCATTGTTTTGCATTATTGTTGCGATTGTTGACCTCATTTTTACCTGAGAAATCAGGTTGGTCGGATACCAGGAGATTGGGCTCGCTCTTTGATACCGTTGGTCAATTCAGGCAAAGTAAAGGTGGAAGGCAAATGCCGTAGCTCTCCAGCAAATCTTTCACTCATGTCTAGTATCATCGTGGACTTCAAGTAAGTTCATTAGTAGCTCATGCAGCTTCCTTGGTGTTTAACATGTTTGCAGTTTGACTTGTAGAGCTTTCGCAAATGGATTCAACTTAGATGCATAGTCAGTAACACTATACGCGTAGCGTTCAGCTAAGGAGTTGTGGTGAATTACACTATTGGATCTTAGTTGTCATCATGAAAAATGTGATCGTGGATGTGTGGTCGAGTTATATTCATTGGTTCCACAAGTCCCGACTTCAAAATGTCACAACCTTTGATTTCACTGCAGGGTTTATGTTTGTCGATCAATGTTCGCAAAATATAACAGTTCAACAGCTCGCATTACGGCATCTTCTGAAGGAACTCTTCATCAGCCTCTTCCTACCTTGCTTCGTCTTCTTCACAGACAACCCATAACCAGGGTGAGTTGTAACTAACCGTTTCAGTGTTTCAGTACGGAATCACTACATGCAATCACCACCCAACTTTGTCAACGAGTAGGAACAGCTTTGAACTACATGTCTCGAGTGCTGGTTATCTGTAGGAGAAAAGCTGGTCTGTCCTATTATTTTCCTTTTTTCCTTTTTCTATTGTCGGATGGCTCCGCCAAAGCAATGTGTATCTTCCCACAGGCAGCTTTTACACCGGAGGAGCTTTACAGCCGGAAGCGAACGCTTGATCGTCATGTTGGAGATGTTACACCAATCGTGAAGAAATTGAAGCTTTCATCTGCTGAGGGCTCAACCGCGGGTGCCCAAGCAGAGGTTGCTGAAGAGGAAGTATCTGTACTTTCTGATGAAGATGTGACGAAGCTTGTTGGTTCAGCAGATGCTTGCAAATTAGACGTAAGTTTCTTGAGTAACAAGGGGTTTTATTGATAAGTTTGTTCTACGAAGATGAACGTGTAGATGGTGGGTATTTTGGGATTTTCTATTAATATCAAACTTAAGTTGCAGTAGTAGCATTAACTAATATCAAGTGTCTTTCACCATTTATGACCATGTGCGTCTCTTCTATGAAGGACAATTATTTGCTTCTGCTAGACAAGCCTGAAGATATGGTATAATTACTCATCGTGCGGTGTTACAGGAGATGGATCCTCCTCCTATCTTGAATTGCGAGCTTCGACCTTATCAAAAGCAGGCCTTGCACTGGATGACGCAGCTGGAAATTGGCGCTACAACTGAAGATGCTTCTCGTACTCTGCATCCATGCTGGGAAGCGTATGATTTGTCCGAGTATGTATCACGCTGTCTTGTCTATGTCAGGGGATATTATTTTTCCTTTCATTGTACTTAATGGTTATGTCCACAGGTGATAGTTCCATTGGCTAATTTCTTGTTCTCTTCATCCCTCTGAAAGTGATGTGGTTTTTTTATAGGGAAAACACCACCTTTTATCTTAATCTTTTCTCTGGTGAAGCAAGTTTGGAGTTTCCAAGTGCTTCTTCGGCTGCACGAGGGGGGGTAAGTATCAAGGTCCTTCGTAATTTTATGCATTCAGTAGCTCCGAGGTTTCAGCTTTCCTGACATTGATGACATATGATCTCATTTATCCCTTATCTGGTTTGTTTTCCAGATCCTTGCCGATGCAATGGGTTTAGGTAAAACTGTTATGATGATTTCGGTTGTGATGGCCAATCCTGGAAGAGGAGGGCTGGCCACAGATCCTGCCGTTTCTGGGTCTTCCAACACATTAGAGGCCCCTAGGAGCCAACTTGGCAATTTATCTCAAGTGATGGAGATGAGAAAGAAGCAAAGTGGTCTCCGAAAAGGAGGGGGCACCTTGATCGTGTGTCCAATGACCTTGCTTGGCCAGTGGAAGGTATTTGTTATCTTCATTTCAACTGTTTCGGCCTTACTTAGGTCTCTTAGCAGAAACATGCTTCATATATTGAGTGGACTTTCATCATTCGTGGCCTTTATTGCACTTGAGACCAATTTAGGCGCAGTCTAATTCACTGGTGGTTGCAGTCGGAGTTTGAGACTCATGTGGCTGGAGACTCCCTGTCAGTGTATGCTTATTATGGCACTGACCGCATAAGAGAACGCAAAGCTCTCTTAGAACATGACATCGTATTGACCACCTATGGTGTGGTGGCTTCTGAATCAAATCAATCTGTAAGTACTCTCTATCCTTACCAAGTTATTTCCGTTAATGAACCTGTACTAGGACTTGAGAGTTTGTACCTAAGTAAATGAATTTTACAGTGCTTCCTTGACTGCATGTTACGGGCGCGGGGTTAAATTTGGTGTTTTTCTGATGTGTATTGAATGTAATCCCTGGGGCAGAATTTTATGGAAGATGGACCTCTTCACTCAATACACTGGTTTAGGATTGTCCTTGATGAGGCTCACACCATCAAAGCATTTCGCACAAGTACATCTAAAGCAGTTTTTATGCTGACTGCCGACCGACGGTGGTGTCTTACTGGAACACCTATTCAGGTGAATTCGGCCTCTTTGTTGTATGTAAAACATCTTGGTTTCATGTCGATAGATGTTTCTGTGTTCGAAGCGTTGTTCCCATGTACTCTTGTCTTTATTTTTATTTATGCTACTTTTGATTTCTTCGGAAGTTGAGTTGTCTGAAGCCACACTACGATTCTAGCCCAGAAATGTTAAAATTCACTAGCTAACCAGCACGTTTCTCTGGTTGGTGCTTCCAGAACAAACTGGAGGATGTGTTTAGTTTACTGCACTTTCTGCGCATTGAACCCTGGAGCAATTATAGCTGGTATGTATTTATTTTGATTTGATCTTTATCTTAATGGAACATCTTTCAGGTTTTCTGGAATGCATGTCCTCTGCTGTGCAGGAAAAATCTAGAAATATGAACCTTCTGTGATATCTAATTGTCCTGTCTTAAGGAGTTCCAGGCACATTAGGATTTCCTCATTGAGTCTCTGTGCAGGTGGGAGAAGTTGGTTCAGAAGCCCTGTGAAGAGGGTGATGAAAGGGGGCTGAATTTGCTACAAGCCATTCTACAGCCGCTTATGCTCCGCCGCACTAAGGATAGTCTTGACCAACATGGCAGGTGAGATTGAGTTGAAGAGTTCCATTGAAATTATGGTGGTCTCTGTGGACTATCTTTGCGTTTTTGCATTGCATACCTACGCTGCTGGTTCTGCTTATTCGTCCAACTTGACATGTCTCGCATGGCCTATGAACTGCTGCTGATGAAAGTCTGACACTCCTGTACTCCTGGATATTTGCAGACCCATCCTAGTGCTTCCTTCAGTAGACATGCAAGTCGTGGAATGCGAATTCACAGAAGCTGAACAGGATTTTTATACTGCCCTGTACAAAAAGTCTAAGGTTATTCCACCATGTTTCAAAGCTTATTGAACCTGAACAACTTAGATCATACCATTATGTTTATTTGTGCTCTCATCATGCTGATAGTGGAATCGTTGGATTTGCAGACCAAGTTTGACCAGTTTGTAGAGCAAGGAAAGGTGCTACACAATTATGCATCTATCCTTGAGTTGCTGTTGCGTCTTCGTCAATGCTGCGACCATCCCTTCCTTGTGATGAGGTATTTGAACCAACCACCTTGTGAACATTCTCAGATGTAGTTAGTTTTGTTTTACAATTGTTTTAGAGTTGCAAGTACGTGTCGTTGGCTTTCTGAAAAGTCCTGGTAAATTTCAACCTGTAAATTTTGCTGAAAAGGGTTTTTGTCTGTGCAGCCGTGGTGACACTGCAGATTACGCGGACCTTGACAAGTTAGCTAAACGATTTTTAAAAGGAGAACAAGAGGGGCTTGTAAATAGACCAACGAAGGCATTCGTTGAAGAAGTGGTCAAGGATCTACAGACTGGGCAAAAGGGGGAGTGCCCCATTTGTTTGGAGTCCATGGAAGATGCTGTCCTTACGCCTTGTGCCCACCGCTTGTGCAGAGATTGTTTGTTTGCTTCATGGCGAAGCTATGGGGGAGGGCCGTGCCCAATCTGCAGGTAATTCTTGTAATTCTTGGTTAGGTCAGGCTGTGAGATGCAATTAAGCTGCAAGCCTAGATTTTCATACCGTATGGCACATATTTGAGAGGTTTTATAAGCTAGTGTTGGAAAATCCACTACAGGCAAACGTTGACGCGTCAAGATATTATAACCGCTCCTTCTGAGAGCCGTTTCCAAGTTGATGTTGAAGCCAACTGGACTGATTCTTGCAAAGTAAATGCACTTATGAACGAGCTTGAGGAACTTCGACCGTCAGGCGCCAAAAGTGTCGTATTCAGTCAGTGGACTGCTTTCTTGGATCTTCTTGAAATTCCTTTCAAAAGGTACTTTGAAGTTTAATGTCTGTTTAGTTTAATAAGTAGTATTGATGATCTGAAGTTTTGATGTGTGTTCCTTTTGTCAAACTGCCCCAGACTGCCATGTTACCTATCACTCATTAAAATTTCAGCTCGTATGTATGCACACCTTTTTATTAAACGCGATAAATAAAGGTTTATGAATGCTCCTCGATTCTTAGAAGCTATGCTTGCAGGCCCTTACCCATATATATTAAACTTTTTATATGCTCTCCAGGAAGAAAATAAAGTTTGTACGGCTGGATGGATCCCTCTCCCAGCAGCAACGAGAAAAAGTTTTAAACGATTTTAGGAGTCAATCAGACATCATGGTGAGATTGTCAGCAGTGGCAATTCAATGTGCTTCTGTGATGTCAGTTTAATCATCAAACTCTTTTCCAGCCATTCGTTTCTCCTGTTCATGATATTCCAGTTAACACTTGTGCCGTCAGTCAAGTATTCTGTATTCTATGTGCGTATGGCTTAACATTTTTTTTAAAGCAATTTCAGCAGAAGGTTTGGGTTGGTGTATTCTATGCTGTAGGTTATGCTGATTTCACTTAAAGCTGGAGGAGTGGGCATTAATCTAACTACCGCTTCTAATGCTTTCCTGTTGGTGAGTCCTTAATGCACTTATATCTGTTCGTGCTTATTCGTAATTGACATTCTATTAAGTGGGTACAATAGAATCCAGGCTTATCAACTTTTTGTTGTACAATTATTAGTGTTAATTAGTCTTTGTCGATGAGGATTTAGGATCCATGGTGGAACCCGGCTGTCGAAGAGCAGGCAATTATGCGGATACATCGCATTGGTCAAACCAAAGATGTCCAAGTTAAGCGGTTTATTGTAAAGGTACGTGAAATGTAATTCAATTTTGAATTGATTTGATTTGATTTGATTTATTTTTCTAATCGTGCGAATGGTTAAGCCTGAAACGTGCGATAATATTATGCTAATTTTCAAATGATGCTACGTGCGAATACAGTAGTTCTTACTACATAGTAGATAACTGCTTGTGTTCTCAGATTCTCTATGGTTTGATGTACAGGGATCAGTTGAAGAAAAGATGCAAGCAGTGCAAGCAAGAAAGCAACGGATGATTGCTGGGGCGCTCAATAACCAGGAAGTTCGCGTGGCACGAATTGAGGAACTGAAAATGCTCTTTTGCTAGTTGTAGTCGAAGCATGGGCTTGCATCTGTATAGTGGTTACCATCAGCAGCTTCTAGGAAGACGCGTTTTGCCGGTTCCTCTGTGTTGTCTTTTCATATTTATGTTCGAAATTTAGGATTTAGTTTATTGCTGCTGAGCAGAGGGATACCACACTTTTTAGCTCACTTATTAGGAGCTGTCTCAGGCTAGATGCAAGGTTGCACTTGGCCCACGAAGTGGTGAGTCAAATGGAGACGAGATTGTTTATCTCGTCAACCAATTTTAGAATACAATTTATTGTTTAAGTTCCACACAAGATTCCTATGACCCAAATGTCTAAACTTCGTTTGGATAAATATCCTCCGAAGCACAATACTTATGATTATAGCTTCAGGATCATTCTGGAGTTCATCAGGCAAACATAATTTGAGCAGACCAGGTCGTGAAATCTGTCGATTAAATCACTTCTTCTTTCAGTAAAAGTCCTTATATAAAAGTACTCTTATCTCCTATTAAACGTTGATTCTCGAAGTACTTAGAAATATGAACTGACCTTGTACCTTTTTTCTTTGCTGTTGACAAGAGAAAGGGAACCTCAATTAACATGTACCGAAAATCTACAAAAAGATGTAGAACTATATTTAAAGTAATGTTAAAAAGACAGAAAAGTATATACAAACTTTAAAATTGATCCAAAAATATTTTGAATTTGAGTGTAATATCTAGTTGACTGTTAAGACTGTAAATTTAATATCTATTTTAAAAAAAAGAGTTTCAAATGTGGTTATTGCATTCTTTTTACTTACAATTTGAGGTTGTAAGACTAATAACTTTACAAATAAATAAAACGTCTAACATCTAAAGTATTAATAGTAAGTTTTATAAAAGAACCTCCAAACTAAATTGATGGATAAAGTCATTTTATAAAATTTTATCTATAGAGGTTAAGTCTAGGTTAAATGATTCTACTTGTGGCCATTGCTTGCTTGTTGCCCCTACAAATAAAGGGCATGGAGCAAGATGAGGCAAATCCCACCTTTGTATGGAAAATTCATATATTTTGTGCAATAGGCAAATTCTATAAGATTGGCTTGGGTAATTGATGTAATAGTTTTAATCTTTAACATTTTAGATATAAATTTTGCCAAAGATGTTAGGATTATATACTACACATATTGAATTGTATATATATGTATATATATATATATATATATTAAATAGATCCATAATTTTATTAAATTGATCCACCTGTCCTGACCATCATGAAAAAAAAAAAAAATACTTCTAGATTCATTTCTCCAATACTAGATCTAAAACCAATGAAAACCAACCACATTCATCATGATTATCATATTCTTCATCATGTGTAGATCGATTTAGTAAAAATCTGGGTCTATTTAATATTTTCATATATATATATATATATAGAATTTTAAAAGAGTGATTCTAATTAGTATTCTTCACCAAAATTAGATTTTTATATTGCTGAAAAAAACTCATGCATTTTTTCTCTTTATCAAGTTGAAAAAGGATAATCTACTCCTAATTTAAGGCATTGAAAAATGGTTAGTAAATACTAATTCTAATCCAATTAAAGAATCTTATTTTATTTTATTTTATTTTGTTTTTTGCATACTCTTATATTTGATTTGGTAGCTCAAAAGCCATGGTCCAAACTAGGAAGAGGAAAGAACACCAAAGAGCCTACATCTAAGGAAAGACAATGAGAAGAAAGAATGAAAGAAAAGTATTGAAGTCAAAACAAGTGCATTAAAGAAGATTTAGATAAAAAAATTAGCACTCCAAAACAAGTATCCAAGTCTAATTTTAAAATATCACGGTTTTAAAAGCGTGCATTAATCAATCTTTTTAATCTTTGCAATTGATGCAAAGATTATTTTACTTAATGCTATTTATTTTTTTTAAAATGATTGTGCTGAATTCATTGCTCATCCACTCCTCCAAGGCAATAAGTGAATAGTGGGTTGAACTAAACTATCTACAAATAATAACCTATTGTGCAATATTTATCTACTATTCAAGTTTGGAGGTGATTCTCTCCAAATCCATTGAGTTGGACTCTAATGTTAAGTAGACATGCTAATTTTTTTTGATCTTGCACAAATTATTCAATTGGATAAACACATAAAGAAGAAGAAGAAGTGAACTCTTTGAAAACTTCTTGAACCAATAATATTAACACTAATACACTCCATACAATTTGGATGAATCCTTGGAAGTGGTTGGGAGCAGACTCTTGTACCACATCCATCCATTAATCCATCCATCCACCCATTCATTCATCCGTCAAACCGACTCGAATCTGAAATCCTGTCCAAGTCGATTTAGAGCACCCTTTTAGAGCATCCTCCCGTGTGAATGGGGCAAAGTGAACCGGGACTTCCTGTCATACGAGATCCTGAAATCAATTCACAGGGACACTTGCTGAGGCCCATTTCTGGCGGGAAGAAGATTGGTCCCTCGTTCAAGACCTCGCTTCGTCTCGAAGCTCTCGCTCTGTGAAGGGAATGCTCATCTTACTCCACCGCGTCGCAGCCCTCGCCTACTCACGCACCATCGCTCAATCACACTGTCTTTCCTTCACCAATTTCGGTACATCCTTTGTCCTACTTTCAATTTTTCCTTCACGAAGTTTTTTTTGTTTTGAGATTTAGTCATATTTTGTCTGCAAGCGATTTGAATGATTATAATTCTCAGGTCGATTCCACTGCCTTCGACGGTGTTTTTAGCATTGATTTGTTTTTCCTGGACAGACACTGCTGCCGAGTGAGGGTTCCTGCCTAGTTGCGGAAATGGTGTGTTGGTTGAGGGTGGAGCGAGATGTTTCTCTGAGAATTTGAGCGTACAATTTCGTGGTTGTAGACTTAAGGCTTCTGCCTCTGTCTGGTTTGGTGTTTAATTGTCTCATTATCTGGTTGTCTCAATTGTGACGCTATCATCTTAATTGTAATCTTGACTTTTTTTTTTTTTTTTTTTTTTTTTTCCTGGTTTGTGCAGGGTTTCGTGTTGGAGGTTTTTATCTAGAAATTTTGATCAGTCGGGGAACCAGTTGAGTGTAAAATTTCACTCGAACGAACAGTGTAGCATCGTCGATTTTTTTTAACGATAAAATATGGTGAGTTTCACTCTTACAGAATTTGTGCAGAATCAGAATTGATTGGCACTCGGCTTGTATTAGAAGTTGTGTTCCAGCTGTGCAAAACTTAATATGGTTCAGTTTCATGAAGAGATTAGTGACCTTGCTGTCGGCAATAATACAAAAATCGGTTTTGAATTAGTAGGTACTGATTTCGACTGACTGCTAGGAGTGTAATAAATTAAAAAAGCATGTGAGTATTTTTACAGAGCTGGCATTGTTTTTCTCTTTGTGGCTTTTGAATCAGAATATTATTTCTGGGTAAATATATGAGATAGATCTTTGAATGAGTACAGCCTGGTAATGCGAAATTGACACATAGTTCATTGTGTGGGATTTTCTAGTCGAAGAAGAGAGGCTTATCGTTGGAAGAAAAGCGGGACAAGATGCTTGAAGTTTTTTATGATAGCCAAAGCTTTTTCCAGGTATATGATGTCTTGGTTACTACTTCTAACGAGATTTGGAATACTAAATAAGTCAGTAGTTATTTTAAATTCGTGTTGGGCAAGTTCAAGTTTACAACCAGCTAATTGTTTGTTGGTATTTTGAGCTGGCATCTTGTACTCCTCGGTATGGTAGAGGCGAATCTTTAAGATTTTCTTCAGCCAATTTGTAGGTGAAACATTACTGAATGCTAACTGGTGTTCTTGGCTTTGAAGCTGAAAGATCTGGAGAAGCTTGGACCTAAGAAAGGGGTTATAAGTCAATCAGTCAAAGATGTGGTGCAGAGCTTAGTGGATGATGATCTTGTTTTCAAAGATAAGATCGGAACTTCTGTAAGTCATTGCAGCCTTCATATAAACCTGCCGATGAAGCTTTTTGCAATCTAGAAGGCCTAGGAGTGCATCTTCCATGTGTTTTCTCCCTCCCAGCTTTTGGGGGGATATCAGAGCTAAATTCGTTGAATATTCTTGTTATCATGTCCATGATTCAGTTGGATTTCTAAGCATGAAGTGGTTGTATTGCCTTCAGAAGGGATTATATTAGGGATTTGCAATTTTGGAGCAGAGGAATTGAATTCTGCCACTTTCCAGTCTTTTTTCTTTGTAACTCAACATTTATGCACTCGCATAGGCTCACAATGTCCGTAATGCGCATTCTAACCTATTCCAACTTCTGTCTATTGCAGGTGTATTTTTGGAGCCTTCCAAGTCGAGCTGGGAATCAGGTATCGTCGTATTTTACAATTTCCATGCGCAATGTTGTCCTTGTATAACTTTAACACTGTAGTGTACAGCAAAGAATCTACTACTATATTTCATACTTGCAGTTATCATACGCCTTCAAAGTTTGTACACAATGAAACACTAATTCTCACTGAATGTTGGCCTTGGATGCTCGAGTTTTACATATGAATGCGGTACTGTTGAAGGTCGGGATTGAACAGTTTAGCACTGGCATGATGTATTGTTCGCGATGAACTTTTTCCGATTCGGCTGTCTTTTGAAAAGTGTACTTTGTGAAAAATAGATTGTTGACGTGCGTGTTGTTACTTGACGCGGTGTATGCTCATACAGCTGCGGCAAGTGCGTGCAAAACTGGAGAGCGATTATGCAATTTCAAAAAAGCGAGAGTCTGAACTGGAGGGCAAGCTGGAGAGTTCCAAAGAAGGTCGAGAGGATTCGGTAATTTTTGTGCTTTATGTGACCGGAGTCTACTGATCTTTCAATAGCGTACTCAGTATTAAGATATGTGTTGATACAGATCAGAAGGTTTATGTAGACGACTGTATCTATTATGTGGTGGTGAATTCCAGCCCAAAAGTCTGAAATACGAAATTAATGACTAACCCTGTATGTGAGTCCAGAATGAGCGACAAGCTGCGTTAATAGAGTTGAATACTGTGGAAAAGAAACATAAAGAACTTCAGGTATTGTCATCTGGTGATGGATTACATCAGCATCTCAATCTTGCTTCTGACAGATAACATTGATCTCATAAACTTCTCATGCACGTGGACTGTTTTTTTTCGAATCCAAGATATTGTGTTCGATTACTGAGATGTGAAATACTGTCCTCAGGAGGAGATCAATAAGTATGCCGATAATGATCCAGCAGTTTATGAAGCCATGAGTAAGTCTTCTACTTCGTTTCTAGTTTCATATACCATAAACTCAGCTCATTTTGCTTACAGTTCTAGGTTTTTTTTGCTTAGATTGCATTTTGTTTCAGCTTTCGTATTCCTGTGCTGACTTTGATGGCGATGCGTAATTTGTGCCTCAGAGGATGCAACCAAGGTAGCCCATGAATCTGTCAATCGGTGGACTGGTGAGCTCATTTAACCTAAGTTGGTTTTATGTGATGGTTATGGTTTATTTGAGAAAATTGCTACGGTATGGATGAAGGATTCATCTACATTGAGTTCATGCAAGAACTATTATTCTATACTTCTTCACTAACAACCACTCATCCGTCTTGCTTTTTGATGCCTTCACTCGCTTACAGACAACATTTTCGCACTACAGAAGTGGTGTTCGAAGAAATTCCCGGAAGCACGAGATAAGCTTGAAGAGTTGTACAAAGAGGTAGAGATTGATCTTCACAAAATCTCAATTTCTCCCGCATATCGATCTGATTGTTGTAGGGCTGCGAGGTTGGTTTCTCAGACCTACAGTATGGAAGTAGTTCGCATTTGACTTCAGGCATCGATTATCCAGCTCAACTTGGAACAAGACAGAATGAGTTCTAAATACATTTTGCACCCTCTTTTGTTGTACACAACAGGTTGGTATTTCTGAGGACTTCGATTACGTGGAGTAATTTTGAGCCATATGCTCTTGTCACAAAGACTGGTGTATACCTTCCAGGTTTGGACCAATTTCCTGACTAGTTCATCTATTCTAGTGTTTCACCTCTTTGCACATCAAGCAATCTGGGTGAAGAGTTTCACTCCACCCAGATTCTTTACATTTAGGATGGTCCCGTGCTCGTTTGCACCGCAAATTTTTGTTGACTAGTCGATCGCAGCACCTGAAAGTATATCGTGCACCGCACGACTTTACAGAACCCAAATTTCCCTGACTGGGGATTATTTCTAGCACATAAGTTTACACGGCAAGCGTATGTACTGTTGCACCAATTGTTGCCACTTTTATGTCTGCATTCATAATGTTGTCTGTCCTCATCCCGAGGTTCCCTTGAGGTCTCATGAACCATTTTCAGTTGACAGACGAAGCATGTTGCTTGCTGAATCATTTTCCATTAATTTTTTCACCAAAGAGACCTTCGCATGGTCGCTGCATTTGTCCAAAAAGCTCATCAGATGATGTGGAATCACTGCGTATCAAGGATACTGCAAAGCTTCTTATTGCAATTTATGGAAGTATTTTTTTATTATTAGTTATTATAAAAAAAGCTTATGAATTTTTTACATCTAAAAGCCTACTTTAAAAATAAAAAGCATACTTAAGAAAGGTCATAGTGTAAAGGTCCTTTGCATGGTGAAAAAAAAGTAGTCTTTGGAAGTCTTTGTACTAGGTAAAGTCTAAAGTAAGAATATGACATGGGTTAAATCATTTTCGAAATAGTAATTCTAAATATAAATTATCGTAGCTTGATTTTACTATCATGGCAAACAATTGAAACTTTATTTTTTTTTATTTTATAATATATATATTTAGTAACTATTGACATGGTTTTTAAAGTTTTATGAAAATCATTGCTTGAGGTGGGCCCTATACAAATTTTGTATAACATTACATATGTTGTGATAGAAAAAAATGTATTCTATTCCATCTTTTCTTCTCATGACCTACTGGTACCTTTTTTCTAAATAGAAAACCAATTGAAAAAGGTTTCTTGATTTCAACCTAGAACAGAATTTAAATCTCTTTTCTTCTCCCCTATGTACAAATAGTTCTTAAGAAAAAAATGAAATTAAACACATCTAGAAAATTAGCAATAGTAATTTGGCCACAAATTCCATGAGATTATTTACCAATAATTTATTTTATTAGACTACTTTATAGTTGTCAATCTAAATTGGAAAATAATAATTCTACGTAAATTGGCACAATTAAAATTATGATATATTGCAAAAGCAAGTTCTATAGATGTGAGGACCATTCAATATCATCTAATTTGTATGACATCAGAAAATTATCTAATTTCAACCAAGTTTTACTTATACCTTGGATGATGAGATGGCCTTAAAGAAGGCTGATTCATATCATATCAAATCCTCAGATTATTGAGAGTTAAACACAGTTATTTTATTTGAATGTAAAAAATGAACATTCTGCTTAATAATTTATAAGATTATTAAAATTCAATGATTTGCAACTAATCAAAATAATTGATGATGGTGAAGCTTGAATATAATTTAATTTTTATTCTAAGTGAGATGATAATACCATCGTAATGAATTTCTTTTTAAAATATTTCCTTTTTATTGTAAAATGAAAGTTTTTTAAAAAGAAAAAATGCACCTAAAAAATATTTAATATATAACATCCCTGTTACACTGATTCTGTGTACGTACAATATATTAGCATAGTTGCTTAATTTTACTGCCACTTGGTATCATTAAATAAAAATTTGACAAACCCAACAGATATTTCAGTAAAAAAAATTAATTAAAATTTTATACCAAATATAAGTAGAATACATATGTATAGTTTCTTTTTTATGAAACTTGATTTTTTTTGGAACAATATATAGGAGACAATATGTTTTTTTTCTAATTCAACATGGACAAGTTAAACCAAATTACTCTTAGTCTAACATAGTGTATAGTGCGATAAGCAACTTTCCACGTTAAAAGTAACGATAATAATAAAAATAAATCAATACTAGTAAAACCTTGCGCTTAAAATTAGCAAATTCCAATTGTATAATTTTAAACAAAAGGAAAAAGTTCTTATTAAACTCAGAATAATACTTTGGTGTATTTTACCTTATTACGCACCTTCAATTGTGTTTTCTTAAAACTCGTAACTGTGCCTTCTGCTTTTGCACACGAATACCAAAATATCCAACCATGAGTCAGTATCCTGCAAACAAAATCAGTAACTTGACTTCATTTATCACACATGGACTTTCTATAGATTACTTTCATGAAGACCTTACGATATCTCGACAATAATGAAACTGAGAGGATAACAGTGTTCCATAGTTCATGTGTAAAAGAATTGTAGACAGGAATTGAAGTTCAATGAGTGTAGGATTTTTGGCAGCTCAATGGGGTGGTGCATCCCTCAGGATACTGCCAACAGATGTGTGAAGCGGACTTACAAAGCTGCTTCGAAACTTTCCAAAGCTAAACAAAATTGCACAGGCTCGACCTCTTGCTCGTAAGCTTTTCTTTGTCAAATATAGGAAAACCTAACTTTTGACTACTATCCTCCCAAGGGTTCAACCTAAGCAAGGACACAAATGAGCACCCAAGATTTTCTTCAAAAACATGCGATTATCGTCAATTGCCAGGAATGATGCAACACCTACTTTGAGTCGTTCCAAATCTTATGAGCACTACGCGCACCAGTGCCTCGCTGCAGGAATCCCTGCATGTAGCTCTCTTGCCTACCAGCAGCCTTAGGCAACTGGAGCTCAGTGAAGCCACGATACAGCCAGAGTCTAGGTACGGACGCAGCCATTGAAGATCTGCACCATAGCAGCTGTCACGGGAACGAAGCTGCAAAACATCATGCCAAACGTTGACTCAGCTAGGCCTCTCCACAAAGAGGGATATTCACATACAGAGTGATGTCTAAAGCTGAACATGGTACGACAAACAAATACAGGACCACTAGCAAATGATGAACCACAAGCTGACTCAGATCTCAATGGAAAGGAAATTGACAAACTAAGCGGGGCATCGGGAAAATCAAGTCCAACTATTAAATGAAAAGCCGATGCTAGCGACACCCACCAATTCTATTCCGTATTCACCTAAAAAATTATATCCTCAGGAACAAACTTGAATTACAACAGCTTTGTGCAGGTATGGCCACGCTCTCTAAAGAACCACGCTGCATGCAATGCATTCACGTCCTACAGGACGTTGGCCACACACAACTTAACGATCGTCACACTATCTCTGTCACTCTCAAACTACGAAAATGCTGCGTTATGGCCTGTTACGTACGCGCCCGTTTGTTGCTACACGCCGGGCACTTGTATTGCTTGATGTGCTCTGCTCTTGCAGGTGTAATCTTCACGCATTTTCCGTGATACCATTTCTCACAAATGTCACAACCTATCCAGAATTCCTCAGCCGTATAACTTCCCCCACAGGTGCCACAGAATGTATCTCCGTGCTCCTCCTCGTCTTCGTCTTCAAGATCGTCGTCTTCCTTAGGAGGAGGAGGTGCTGGTTTGGCCTTGGCAGTTTCAGCCGCACGTTGCTGAGGAGAACCGCAGGAGGCAAGCACAAAAGAATGGCGACGATGTATTAAACATAAGTTCACTCGGCTAGCACCACAAACCTCGTTACTTATAAAACATGAGAGATATTCAGAAAGCTCTATTGACACAAACAATATCCAAAACACAACTCCCTTCGAACTTATTAATAAAAAACCCATGGCGACTCAGAAACATCTTCTAGTGTGCGATTGCCACTTCACAGAATTATCACTCACCACCTTCGCCGCAGACTTTGCCTTGTTCCCGCCGCTGTTGTTATTATTGTTGCTATTGCTGTTAACGTTATTATTGACGCTGCTCTTTTCCTTCACAGGCTTCTTTCCGGTAACCACATCAAATACCGTTGGCAGCTCATTAATCAAATTGAATAGCCGCTTCCTGTCAATATGCCCCAGAACACAAAAGTCTAAACATTTTCGGTAGGTGTAATCAGAAGATGTTCTGTTTACTTTGCCAAAATAGGTGACGAAAAATGCTACTAAAGACAATTTCACGTTAAGTAAGACGGGGTCATCCCATTCATCTGTAACTGACGCATACTTAAATACAATCTGTAAAAACAAATCGCGATCTAGAAGCTTGTCATGGTAGAAATCATACGTCTTGCGTACCTTTCGATCTTGTCAAATCGGGCACCGTAATAAAATGCAACAGCGAGCAGCCATGCGTCACTATGTACAGCAACCAATGAAAGCCAGTCCTTGCGCTGCATTCCGTCTCGTGCGAAGTTGATCCCCAGCGCAGGCTCCGGTAGCTCTGGGGGTACTTCTTCGGCAGGGAGGTTCACCTCCCACGTTTCCTCCGGAAATCCATACAAACATAAATTCTCCTTCTCTGCAAGTTCCGTTAATGGTCACCAATGGAATTGCTATAGCCTTAACCAAATTAAACACACCTCTCTTCATACCCCGTCGCTATGCCAGAGAATGTTAAAAAAAGAGAAACCCAATGCCAACACAAAATATTGCAAATATAAACTTGCCAAAATCTATGAACTCTCATCACTATGAAAAGAGGCACATGTTCGAACCTACTGCCAGAATCCAGTCATAGAACTAGATGAGGAATTAGGAATCGAACCTGGATCACACTGCCGGTAAAATTCTTCTACTTCTGCTCAATCCAAGAAGAATAAGAAAAATAGTCAATATACCCCCAGGCGGACTCGAGACGCGAGAAATAGAAGTTACGCGCTACAGAAAGAGCTCGTTCATGAAATGTAATTGTCAGCGTTTGCGCGAGGATGTTCATGAGGCAGAATGACAAGAACGAATAACCGATATATATCCTTTCACACAATAAGTAGGAAATTGCATCGCACCGAGTAAAAGATTTAATGCATGCTAACCATGTGAGAAAACAACGACATAGAGGAGGGAAATAAACCCTGAACTACAACAATGAGTTTGTTCAGGCACGTCTTTTACTCTGCGACCAAATATAAAGCCAGCGTTCCTCTGATCAGAACTATGAGGATTTGAATTTTAGGCCCTGACGAGATCAACTCAAGGCTCACATAAAAGGCGAACGGTGCCAGGACCTTACCAGTAGTAAGAGCCTTGAGCATCCCCGCTCGACGCCCTCTGAAATCCTTAAAGACCTCCTCCACGGAGCGGGGGTTTGTTGATACAGATGCCCCTTCCATCTCGCCACCACTTTCTAATCAAGCCACTCTGCACACACACAAAAAAAAAAAAAAAAAAAAAAAAAAAAGGGAGGGCGGGGGGAGAGAAGGATAAACTCAAGACTCCCCTAAACTCACTCGTCCACAACTTGAAGATCCCCGTCGAACCGAGCGAGCAAAGAAAACGCTAAGGAGCACGCACAATTGGCAGCACTGCGAGACTAGCGACCAGCACAGGGAAGGTAAGGGCAGCGAAGCAGAAGCAGAAGCGGGAAGAAGGGAAGGGCTTGCAAGGGTTTGCGAGAGAGGACGCCCGTGAGAACGCGGGAGAGCGAGTCCTACGGGGCTTTGAGGCGCCATGATCGAAGCCTCCCCCCCCGCTCATTTGCACTGCCACACTGCCTTTATCATTCCTTGTACAAAACCACGTGAAAAATGGATGAATTTATCATCCATTGGATGATTTATGAGACAAAAGCACGTCGCGACCGTCCAAAAGGTTGAAAGTTCGGTGTATGCTTTTTGTTCGTAAAAAACTTTAAAGGCTCTGTTTACGTTGAATGAGAAGACGATGCGATGCCCTCTCTCGCTCGCGAGACAGGAGGCTTTGCTGATGATGATTCTGCGCCGATCCATGGTTGGTTGGATCCCTGCATTGAATGGCTTGAATCGCGACAATTTTGACTGATTCCTCTCATGGTTTCTGTCGATTGTGTGACACGTGAGAGTCGTCGATCCAGGTAGTGAGTGGCGCAGTGGAGCGTGGTCTCTCCCGCGGAATAACCTCCGTAGGCTTAGCTCAGCTTCGAACTGTCTCTTGCTACGTTGATGATGATGACGCATTCAGCTGTCTTCGGGTTTAGGTCAGAAACAACACAATTCCAACCTCGGGTGGTTTTACTACAATGTGCGTGGGGATTGTATGGATGTTCAGTCTAGTAGCTGATCGAACCATACATATGAATGAGATTACTCCACTAACACTCGTTCCTCAAATACCTCTGTGGCAATTCCAGCCACAGCCGAACAGGAAAATTCACCTAGCAGACACGAGTAGCAGCCACACTCTCAGCCAAGAATTCGTACGACACACACATACCAAAGTAATCTCTTAGCTTCGCTTCATCCCGCAATTACAAGCCGACTGTTGAATCTAGCGAGTTTATAGAGTATTGCAAAGTAAAAGACCGCACGCTCGTGTAATTTATACGCATGAGACACAGAACCTCTAGGGTTTCACACTAAACTAAAAACCTCCATGATTGCTCGAGTACTCGGTAAACATCGCTTCTAAGAACTCCGCGGGAGAAGATTCAAACGAAGCAAAAATGGCTGGGCACGTGCGTGACTCGAATCACAAGTATACATGATGTGATTTGTGAAGATTCTGCTTACAACTTTATTGATAGGTGCTTTCTATCAACTGTTGAAATTCCTAGTATTTTTTGTATATGCAACTCAGGGAGGTGTTTTCAAGGAAAGCACCGAGTTGCGAGAATTCTAGCCAATGTATCTTACTCCAAAATAATAATCTATTGGGCATTTTCTAAGGTCTTTATAAAGGATTGTTGATTGCATTTGCGAGAAGAAATAGTGGCTTGTGATGGTTGCTTGTGGGCAATTTCGTATAGTTGTGAAAAAAGTTTTGAAGTGTGATGAAATCGTTGTGGATGTTGTGAGCATGTAAGAATTTCAAGTGGTGAAACTATTTATACTAATGAATTATTATAAATACACTATTAAAGTTTAAAGCAATCAGGTAATTGTAAAAACATACTTTAAAAAATGTATAGTTTTTAAAATTATCAACAAACAAATTCTTCTTGAAAGCCTTGAGCATGGTGTTTCTCCACTGTAGATATATATATATATATATATATATATTATTAATTAATTAATTAAATTACAACTGACAAAAGTAATGAAAGAAATCAAATCCAACACCCAAAATCTACTTTTCATACTGTTTTCTTACAGAGAGAAAAATAGGAAAAAAAAATAATAAATACAAACATCAACAACATATGAATAGTGTTATACTAAAACTTGTTAAGAAACTTGCACAATAAAAACTCCTAGTTTAAACTATATGTTTAACGACTTTTTTAAAATAATAAAAAAAGTAAATCTTAAAGTCTAATTATTTAAAATATTCATCAAATCACATACATGTAATCGTCATTTTGAAATCACATTTATGATCATATGCAGAAGAAAAATGGTGTTCCTTTCGAAGACGAAGCAACAAAACAAATAATTTCCTGACCTCAGAAGGAGTTGCAGTCTTCAACAAAATCCCAAGAATAGCAGCATTTCATGGAAGTCTATCTGAGTTGCGGACTTACCGACAACTGTTTTCCGTATGATTGAAGAACTAAAGAAGGAATTGCGTTGCTGTTTTGGCCGAACCAGTTGTTGTATACTATTCACAATATGAGACCGTGATGTGCAATCATCCCCGGGCATTCTAAATAAACGCGCGCAGATACTTTTAGATAGCGGAAAAATCCTTCTTGTCTTACACCGCGAGAGGATCTTCTGCGACAAAATTTTGAGCACGTTCAAAGCAAACTAGAGAGCCATTCACTCAAGAAGTGCAACAGAACCTCTCATGCGATCGCAAGTTTCACACAGTTCTCTGAGCAATAGAAACACGGCAACCTACGAAAGCACGAACAGGACGCCTCCGTTGACATCGCCTACTGGAATAATAATCTACTCTTGCACGAAAGTTTCAATAGCAACGAGAACACGATTCGAAATGACATAAGCTGTGGAAGCAGTACGAGTGAGCCACGATAACGGAGTAGTACTTCAAGGAATGCATTGAACCTCTTCCGACGTAGCAGGGTTATATGCGCGCACCCCGCAAGTGATCAAGGACTCTGATATTCGAGGAGACGTAATACACATCCGAGAGTTGAATCAACAAGAAGAGAGAGGAGAAGAGGATTCCGTTAGCAACGTTAAACTCCCCGAAAAGATGTGATCGAGGCCGACGAAGCTGCCTTTAGAACGAATGTGTACGAAACATTCATCTCTCTCGCTTTTTTTAGCAGAATCGTATCGTTCGTCCGTGCCTTCCATTTTTATTGAACTGCCAGAGTTATCCAAAGAGAGAGAGCGAGGAAGGAAGACTTGGTGCAAGTGAGAGCTTGAAGAGGGCTCGAGGTTTTTGCGTGTCTGCAAATCATGGTGGCGATGGCGCTTTCCATCAGCTCGGCGCTCGCGGGTTCTATGTCCTTGTTGTCTGTTTCTTCTGCAACTACCCCTTGCGCTTCTGCGTCGACGCAGTGGAAGCCTGCAGCTGCTCATTTATCTGGTAACTCGAATTGAGTTCATGGCCTGATTCACCTGAGATTTTGTGGTTGTCGATTTTAGATAGGTTTTGCTCTGCGTGACTAGGTGATGTTACTGCGTTGGACGATGCGTTGATTGCGTTTTTTTGATATGGTTTTGGAAAGACGTTTCGGTGAGAGTAGAGTTTTACGGGCTGTAGGTTTGAGAGTGTTGGCGGTTCCTTGATGTGGAACTGGGGCTTTGGTCAGGTCATGCGATTGGTTTGAGCTCGGGATTTTCAAATGTGCGTGTTAGCGCTGCCGAAGTTGCGCCAAGGTCCGTAGTCAAGGCCACTGGAGACGTGATTGAGGCGTCTACTAGTGAAGCCAGCGAGGAGTCGGCGCCCGCCATTACGACCATGCTCTCTGAAGCCGAGCTGCTGAAGAGAAAGGCCAAGAAAGAGGAGCTTCGAAGGAAAAGATTGGCTAGGAAGAGGAAGCTGAGGAAGAAAGGCAAATGGCCTCCATCCAAGATGGCGAAGCTAAAGAACGTCTAGGTTATTCCAGTTCCACTCCTGCCCTTTTGCAGCATTCATCAAATTGTGCGTCTGTTTAGTTGGATGTAGTAGTAATACGATTATTACATTCCGCTTCGCTCATTCTTCTCTATCTCATCTCCTTTGAAGTGTTCAATTGAGTGTCCTGTTTGAGTGCTCTCGTGTTCTAACTCTGTTTCGTCAGACCTTACTATCCTACTGAATTGTAGCAAGCATTCCTGCTTACTTTCATGAAATTGATACTCCCACCATTCTCACAACTGAAGACTCCGCTGTCATTCTGAGAATTATGTAGAGAATAGCATGATCAGTCTTCTATTGTGTTGTTGTTGAATATGAATATAAGAATGTTTTTGAAATGAAATAGAATAAGACTGTTGATGTTCAAAAATTCTTTGAGATAGACCCACAAACAGATCTATGAAGTTTTTGAGAATAGTTTGCGGAATTGAAGTTTGAAGTCATTTGGAGGTCTTAAGTCAGTGTCTTTCTGCAATGTTGATAAGTCTCTCACGTGTGTAAATGGGCCATACAAATAGTTAAACACTGATTGAAAAAGCAATTAAATGTAAATTGACTGGGCTGTAATCAAACAAAATGATTATGAGCCAAGGAACAGTAAGTATTTTTTTTTTTTTTTTTTTTTTTTTTTAAAGAAGATAGTTTAGGTGTTTGGCATCGTTACTAAAACCAATTAAACGATATAGGTTCAATAATTTAATAATAATTAAGCTACACATCCACACAACCTATGAAACTGTGGAAATATGAGATGTTTGGCATCATAATGATTTTTAAGTATGAGGCATACAACTAAGTGTCAGGGGATTAGTGAAAAACAATGAATCTAATGCTTTAATTGTGAAAGCATTAAAGTGTAGAAAGGATAAAAGTGAAACATTTTGGAGGAGGGATTTATTTATCAAAGTTTTGCATGATATTAGACTTGTACTACACATTATTATTTTTATTTAATTTTTTAATTATTTTTATTATAAAACTTCAATACTGGTTGTTGATAGTACCAAAAGAAAAATTTGTTGGTTACAAAAGAGGGATAGTGATATTAGATAGATAATGTAGAATAGTGGTTGTTGATAGTACCAAAAGAAAAATTTGTTGGTTATAAAAGAGGGATAGTGATATTAGATAGATAATGGAAGATAATTTATCTATGGATGTAGAAAAATACTTTAAACTATTTTCTAACTAAATATTGTAATTTAGAAGTTACTATACTTGATAAATTATTTGCAAGATATAAACATGAATTACTCTATATCATGTCTTATATGAAAATAAAGAAAAATAATTAGCTACTAAATATATATAAAACTAGTATAGATATCTAATAATTTTAGAATGTATGAAATTTTAAAAATTAGTATATAATCAATTTGGCACTTATGAAATTTTTTAGAGATGAAAGTGCAAAAGATGATACAATTATGTAATTACATACAAAAATTAATAAAGACACTAAAGTTGAATATATGGAAAGAAATAAAGATTAATAACAATAATAAGAAAGATGATTCTAAAAATAGAATTCAAAATAGTAGGATAATATGTTGAGATGTTTTAAGTAATTTTTATTTGATAATATAATAATACATATAAAATATTTTTTTTATATATTTTTTTTATAAGTATTAAATTCTTGATTAAAAGATGTTTTCAAAAAAATTAATATTGTAATAAAAACAAAATAATCAAAGTATTGAAATAACTAATGTATAAAATAAGATCAAGTAATTTTTTTAAAATAAAATTAGTTTTAGCATTGTTTTGATTTTGTTCATATAATAAAAAAATTACTCTATAATTATTGTGGAATTATTTAGAATTGATCTAAATCTATAGTTTACTTGTAAAATGTATATATAACATTCTAATTTATGATTATTTAAAACACAAAAAATACAAGAATGTATAATTATGCAAATATATTAGATCCAAACTAAAAAAATACTTTAAAAGTTTAAGTGATGAATAAAATATCTAAATATAATAATTATAAGAAACTTAAGTGTCTATTTGAAAGATAAAATTAAAAGAATAAAAGAATGAAAACTTATAAAGTATAAAATAAATTTAGAAAATTAACTCACTTTTATATAAGTACACTTGATAGCATATCATATTTGAATTGTTTATTTTGATTTGTCTTTTCTATCTGAAAATTATTTTTCTATTGTGTTTATTGACTTTTAATTAAATTGCAAGACTTGCCATAAGTGTATATATTTTACTAAGATTAATGAGGATGGATCAAGCAATAGAAAATAGATAATATAATTGATAAAGTTTTTGATAGAATTTAAATTCATTGTATGAAGATGTTGCAATATACACAATCTTATTATGGAAAAAATTCAACATTGAGTTGACAAGAATATTATTAAATATCTTCTTTTCAATGAATTAGTTCATTGTTTGAAGGACTATAGCTTATGGAACTTGCTAAGTTATGAACTTAAAACATATTGCAAGAATTTTCCAATGTCAAAACCTTGTGTGGAACATTACATGAGAGAAATGCAACACTATGGAATATCAAAGCTGCCATAAAATTGCAGATTCCGATTTAATTTCATAATTCCTCACTTAATTTATAATGTTTCATTCTTTTTAATTAATTGTAATAAAATCAAGCTTATAGGTTTTGAATTTAGAAACACCATCTATTCCAAAAAATATTATTAACAAAGTAAGAAATGTTAGTTAAGGTATATAAATTATACAAGATTTTATCTTATCTACATACACACACACACACATATATATATATATATATATATATATATATATATGTTATAGAAAAAAAATAATTGCTTGAAATATTTTAATGTACTTATAATTTTTTTGAATAAAAATATAACTATCTTTTATCTAAAAATATACTAATTATATATTATTAATAATCTAAGCAATATCATTAATAATATTTAATAAAAGAAGAAACTTCTTAAATATTTTTATTATTAATAAATAAATTTTCTTCAATAATATATTTTATTATTCTATGAAATTCAATATTAAAATTCAATACTTATAAATATACATTACAACCACTAATGCATTATAATATTAAGCAATTATAGTAGATAATAACTAATTTTTGCTTCAAAACTATTTTAAAACTTTTATTATTATTTTATATATTAAAATAATAGATATCAAAGAATTAATTCTAAAAAAAGTTAGAATTTAAAAAATTAAGAATTTATTGGTATATAAAGATTTTAAGAAAAATATTTAGATTCATATTTACAATACTCACTAATTATCAGAGGCATATATATTTACTTTAATATTTACTTATATGATTAAATAGAAGTAGGTAAAAATAAATTTATTTCATAATATTTTTTAGAGAAGCTTTGTAGAAGCTTAATAGATGTTGCTTTGCTTTACATATGTTTATAGTTGATTGATAGGTTAGAAACTTGGTCAACAAGTTAACTACGTGTTGGTAACTTGCCAAATAAGCTAACTATGTGGTGTATATAAAAAAATCTTGCCTTGCAAGTTAAGATACATGTCTTACAAAGTCAATAGTTTTAGAAGTCTTATAGGACCTTGCCGTATAGATCCTAGTTAAGAGTATATATGGAGGCAAGAGTGAAGCCTTCTTTAGTCTTGTCAATGCCTTTCTAGTCTAGTCTTATTTCAAGACTTTCTAATCTTCTTATCTTTGCCAATAGCCATTCTAGTTTAATACTATATCATCTTTGAATGATTTTCTAGTCTTTTCAAGTGACACAAGAGTGTATTGGTTTTTTAGTTCTTTGAAGTTTGTGTTTTTGACACTAATTTTTTGATACAACAATTTATGAATTTTTTCGTTTTGTCTATTTTCATAATGTACATAATTAATTGTAAGATACCAAAAAGATATGGATGTTTTTATATAACAATTTGATCAAGTAATTTTAAGTATCTTAGTTAGATTTAAAGAATGCATAAGTTTCAATCCCACACCCCCAATACAAACTATGGTTGCAAATTAAGTAATATATTGCTTCTTTCCATTACTTTGTCTTTATTCATTTTTTCCCATTGCAAAGCAAAGTCCTCAAGTTTTTTGCAAATTTGCAAATTTTTATTTAATTTCTAATTATTTTTGTTATCACATTCAATGTTTACTACGTTTACTCCAGCATTTCAAAATTCTGAAAAAAAAAAGATAAAAAGAAAAAATCCCAATTGACGTTTAAGTATCAAAGTTCATTAGATTTTTGCATGTATGTGATAAAATCCCATGACATGAAGGTGGCAAAACTTAAACAAGACATCAAATTGGATCGTCTCTCTCGATTTCAGATGTTATTGGGGCTTTATTTTGCTGTTGTTGCGGAATGACTCCCGGCTATAGCGTACGCAGAGGGTGGTCTCGAGACACTTCCTCCCCACTAGAAAGCTTTCGCCTCCCTTAGAGTTTGATGTCTCCGTGTGACTTGTGGTCTCGGCTTCACTGCTTCATCCCCTCGATTAACCCCCCGATCACTCCCCGATTGCTTTCAGATCAACAAATTTCGTTTATTGATTAGTGTGCTGCACTGTCCCTCACAATCACAGCGATGCACAAAATAGAGACGATGTCTGGCTTAAAATAGAGACGATCTGTAGAGCAACTTGATATTACTCTGGAGTGCTCCCCTTCACATTTTCTAAGTTTTTTTTTTGTGTTTGCACAGGCGTTTTAGGTCTTAATTGTAGCGTGGCTTGTTCTGTACTTCGATTGGGAGCGAGGTCAGGATGAGTCACTTGATGGAATAGTGGTGTCGGGGTAAATATCTGAGCATCGTTGGTTGGTTTGAACGTTCTCGGACTCGGATGCCTGTGATACACGGATCAATCCGCAGATTCTCGAAAACACTAGGAAAATTGTCGTTGAAATTCCTAAGTTCGATGAATATTGCACCAAAGTTGAATGGTGTTCGAGGTTGGATATGTTGGAACCTAGTTGTTCCGGGTCTGGGCCACTGAATGAGCTTAGAATTTGTTCCATGGCGCAACGGCACAGGAAGCCTTGGAATGTCACTCTGGTGCGGCTATGCTTCAGCTGTGTCCATTGATGAGCCAGACGATGGTTCGATGTTTGAAGCATTTGCACAAGTGACTAGAAGTATGCTTTACGGGATCACTGCTGTCAGCTTAGGACGAGCGTGATAGATAAACATGAAATTGAACGTAATTAGGGGTTGGCTGAGATTATGATGTGATTTTCAGAGCTCATCTATCACTAAATATGGCGATGCTTAGTTGCAATGGACCTACCTTGAGGGATGAAATCTTGGGAACATTCGAGATTTAAAAGAAGCTTACTTCCTTAATCTTGGTTGTAAGGATTCTGGTGGAATCAACCTCTGCAGCGGCTGTTGATCGTACACACCCACACAAATACTTCTCTTAAAAAAGTCGTCGACGATTTAATTATCACAGACAGGCGTCTCCACTTTGTATTGCAGACACAGTTCATGTGCACCGAGTGTGGGAAGCAGGAGACGAGGGACGTTGCATCCTGCAGGGGGGTAATGATTCCTGTTTGATCATTTTGGAATGGGTGTAAATTTTCGTGGGTTGCCAGGGTATATGGACGGTCTAACTTGGAAAAGTAGACGATGGGAAGGATGTGAATATGCACGACAGGAGCCAAGAGGGTATTCAGAACATTTTGTCTGAGAACTGTCAAATCTCGATGATGTATTGAGTTAAAGGGGCCAAACTATTAATCAACAGGTGCTCAAGGGTCAGAAAGGGTTGAGCAGAGAGCATGGTGATGGAAAGGACAGAGTTTCTCGCTGTAAAGAGAGATGTAAAGTGAGAGGCTTTTGATATATCAATGGAGACAGTCTATGTTGTCGAAGTGTTGACATGGCAGTTTGTAAGGTGCTAATTCTGCGGACGGAGGGAAACAAAGATTCATTGAGATAATTCTAAGACATGCATCAGGTGGCAAGTCACACCGCAGTACATCCTGTGGCTGTTCCGCCACAGTTCCCACGATTTTTACACCCAGTTGTTCGAATGAAAGTTTTGGCTGGATCACCGGGCACGATGGGGGGATTGGCATTGCGGCTCGCGCAAACTGGATTTTCCCTTATTTCGCTTTGCATTAAGATATCAATCACTGGATTTTCCTCAATTTCAGCTTTCTGGTGCGAATCTTCCTGACTTTGAAGCTTGGATTTTATAGTTTCTATTCCCTCCATCCATCAAGCCACTTGAAGGGAAACCTCAGAAACGCACACGTCTGAGGCTTTCTATATTGTTCACATATCCTCATTCTAGTTGAGGATTTCGAAAGGTTCAAGAAGATTTCAATCCAGCTTCATAGTTACAAAATAAGCATGAAAAGTCGGGGTCAAAGAAATAAAATTAAACAAATAGTGCAGGTAACTGTGTCTGAAGGAGGTCATCGCAGGGTTTCAATGTGGTTGCAATTTTAATTTCACTTAAGATTTTTCCCTGAATGAAGTTACTTGTAGAATGTCCTTGTTTGTAACGAATTGTGTTTGTAACGAATTGTTTGTAACGAAATCTCCTCAATGGTGCTGAGTTTGCACTTTGGTGGTGAAGGTTTCTTGTGGCAGCGATGGTATTTCAATTCATCTGGAGCTTCAGTATAGGGGTTTTGGACACTGCGTTGTTGACGAAGCGAAGCCTTTGGAATCCAAGGATAGTGAGCCTTGTAGTAGTTGGTGACTGGGTAAGAAGCTCTTTAACCTTCAATTACGCTCTTTGAGATTCGGTTTAATTCGCTTGAAATGCTTAGAATCTTGATGTCATTTTTATTGTCCTTGAAGGGATGCTTTCACTTGTACAAGCTGCTATCAGGTCCTTTCATGTTTATGTATGCTTTGTTTTGTCCTTAAAATAAGACGTCGTCTCCATTGCAGAAGAGATCCTTGCCTAATAAATATGTCTGTATGGTTAGGCGTGCGTCATCCAATTCTCTTATTGAACAGCCACCGTAAGTGATTTCTTTTTTTTAAACGAGTTTCTGAAATCGGGTATAGGTCATTTCAATGATGACATTTGCTGGAGCTTGCGCAGCTGCGGGAATCGTTGTGCTGATTCATAACGATCTCGATCAGTGTAGATCCAACCACTGCGGCAGATTTGCGGTAGCTGCTGCCATGGCTTTTATGAGCTGGATTGCAACAACTCTTTCTTTTGTTTTAGCATTCTGGCTCTTTGCAACCCGTAGATAGTACCTATGGGTATGGTTCGTCTTACCTTGTGTATTATACGCTCTTGTTTTGCCTGCGCTGGGACCCTATGTTAATGACAACATATATATATATATATATATATATATATCTATAGATATAGATAAATCCCAATTGTAAGATCCACTAGAGAGAAAATCAGTTGTATCTCACCAGCTGATGTTTGCAGGAGGATCTCAGACATTGTCTTGTTAGTTTATGCAGAATCCTGATAGGAATTTCCAGTATTATTTAGATTTTACGATTGAGCAGCTTTGTTGAGGCTATCACCTTGCATGGCTGTGTACGTTCTGTAAGTTGATAACAACGCTTAGACACTTAACTTCAGTGTAAATCATGTTGTAATTTATACATCCTTATTCTGTAGCTTTTCCGGGGACTTTATAATCCAGAAAATTCCTTTGCACTTGCTATCAGCCTCCAAAGACCTGGAATTAGAATCTGTTGAAGGTATTCTGATGAGAGACTAAGCGTCCTGTAGTTGGATACTGTACTGCAAGTAAGAAAGCTTATGATTCAGTTCTTCAAGTCTTGGGTGCACTTTGTTTTCTTTTACAACTCGTCGAAAAGAACCCGAGTAAAAGGTCTCTGCAAACTGAGTTGTAGTTACAATTCCAGTGGTGCAGTTCAGAATGAACTATTGAACTTCCGTACACTTTTCATTTCCTTGGCGATTTTGCGATCACAAGATAAAGGCAACTAGGTGAGAAACACTCGGCGGGAAGGAATCAACTAAAAGATAAAATGCAGGGCCAGATACCTGAATACGTCATTTTTAGAGGGCGTATCACGAGTTCATGCTGTTTGTTCTGCTAGACACCTAAATTGGACAGAACTATACGCCAGAGAAAATCATTCACCATAGCACAAGGAGCCCATCTATCTCGCGAGGTAATCCGTGCACCTCCACACCAAGTCCCCCGATGAAAACCTTTGAATAGAGTCCATCGTCGGTAAGAGATTGAAATCCATGTTTCTTTTCCGCCATTGTACAAAAACTTAAATGCTTGTTCTACGTGATTCCACAAGCATTCAGTGGTTCCTACGACCAGCCCTAGGATCGAGTCGGACAAAGTCTGGCTAACGACTGTCACAACAAGAAAAAAATAACTCCACAAGGGACCGTTGATGGCACATGTCCATTCTTCTACCAAAGGATGTTCATTATTTTTGAAGAAGCATTGTTATGCCGCTTCGTTGACACATAGTTTCAAAATACTCATAACTTTGTCAATCGCTTTGCAAAACCAGTCGACACAATCCGATATCTCCACATTAATAGTTCAACTACGAAAAACAACTCTATAAAGGATTATGAAATAAATCAGGGCGTGAGCTCCCGTAGCTCAGTTGGTTAGGAGCTCAAATGGTAGAGCGGAGAGCGAGTTGGCTAGAGCGAGCGGGGCTCCGTGAAATCGGGGGACGCACCCTAGAGATCCGAAATTACCGGAATGAGTGATTTTTGACGTTTTTGAGTGCGCATTAGATTTCTCCACTCAGAGAAGCATTGTAACACTCTAGGAGATTGCAACGCAACCACTTGCAAACATATTTGGAACTAGAAACACAGATCCAATTTTTACGATACAACCCAAACATTGAGCGAGTACATATCTGACCGGGTTAGAGCTGTTTAGGAATTTCTGGTTCCAGAACCAGCAGAACCCAACGTAGTTAACTAGATCGCAACAGTAGAATGGAGCGAAAATCAGACAACGGACGCCGCAAGACCAAGTACAGTGCCACGGCAAGAGAGCCAGCATATGCTTTATGCAACAGGACATCAATTCAGGCGTCGACAGGACGCGGGAGTCGAGCGGAGTTAACGAAAGATCTACACAAGGAACCAACTCAACACACGACCTCACAGGTAAGTCCCCCATCTCTCGACTCAATTGCAGAAACCCAAATGAGTGAGGACAGGTTTGTGAGCCTCAACTCCGAGGAAAAACATTCCAAAGGAGACTTTGAGATTCGGCCCCTATACTTCCCGACGGAGGGAGAGTATCGTCCAACGAAGACGAAGTCTTATTCAAGGGCATTAAGGACACAAAACCAATAGGGTCAGACAGGAGCATTAACCTCGGGGACGTCGGGACATCACCACCTATTCTCCTCGAGCAACAGACTCTCAATTCCTCCCCAAACGAGATAGTCACGTCAGACATCACCCATGGGTAACTAAGGCACACCGGGGACAGGGACAATAATGCACACTAACTACTGGGACATCGGGACCTCAACCACCATGTTTGGCAGTGGTCAGCAGATACACGCAGTAAACAGCCCAACTCCTCACATCATGGACAACCCTAACAGCCACATAGATACACTGATCATTCAGAAAGCATTAGACCAAGCGCACCACACGATGGAGAACCTTAGAGCCTTCATACAAGCAAAATGGGACACAGCCGAAGCTTTTATTAAACAAAATCCACAACTTGGATTACTACACCAATACACTGTGGAAGAAGAGCTCAAACGCCTCTCGGAACAACTGAAGCCGGATGTCGAGAATCTACTACAAGCTTATGGCATGGACACAGGTACCATAGGCAACACAATTACACCCACGCCAAAGGACGCAATGTTTCGCAACCCCAACATGCACACAATACAATCAAAGCCACCCTCAGCATGAACACACTACAGCAGCTACAGCAGCAAATCACACATGAAGAGAAACATACCCTCATTGGATACTTGAAGAAGAACCCCGGCCCGAGGATACTTCACGAATGGGCCACTCAGGTACCCCATAATTCCTACTCCTCGATAACGATGCTAGGAGGAGGATACTTTGAGGTACACTTCACAAGTGAACAAGGCAAAACGCACACGCTAACCAAACAGTACAAATTCAACAACCAAGACATTCTCTTCTCTACGTGGAGAGCTGATTTTGACCTGGAAGCTGCATCAGCTTTATCAACAAGTAACCTATCCAATATGGGCCCAACTGCGAGGACTACAACGCTTACTACGCACACCACAACTCAAAGAGGCATTTAGTAACATCGGCGAGGTGATGGCAATTGACCCCTCCGAAACATACAGAAGTAAAGTTTCAGACTCTCGTGTACGCATACTGGTGGACGACATCACAAAACTTCCACACTCAATGGTCCTACCAAATTTCCTAGGTGGCGAAAGAATACATCATCGAATACAGTGGTCTGCCAAACTAATGTAACCGATGTCGCAGCACTTCACATCATGCCAAGAACTGTCCACTAAGAAGAAACAAAGAAGGGAAGAGACCACGAAGCAAACCTACACACTCAGAAAACTCCAACGAGATCAACCCAACACCAGATCAAGAAACTTCAAAGAACAACAGGTCAGATCCTAGCAAGAGACCCAACCCTCCGATCCAGAGACCGCAATTCGTCTGGGTCGAAAAGAAAAAACCTGAACACACCCATGAGTCGGTACAACCTGTAATACTCGAAGGACCAATCTCATACGATTCTCCGCTAATACATCCCAAGTTTTGGCAAGCATTGGAGCTTCAACAATGAGCTAAAGGCATGTATTATCGCAAAATGTAAATATTAAAATGTTTACTAGATGGCTTTATATGAAGATACGTTGCACAAGTTTCACAGGTGAAGTGCTTACAACCAACATTTTATATAGAGTGAAATGTGAGAATCTGAGTGAGATTTGAAATATGTGAAGATTCATTTCTATAATATTTACTTTCGCAGTTTTCGCTACATGCGAAAGTGGGGTTTGATCACAACGCCAGTAGCTTTCTGGTCAAAATGTGACAATTTGTGAAAATATTCAGCTCAGTCTAACTGGAGAAAGAGTATGATCATTAATGAACGGGTCGGTACACTATTCTTTGGTTGCGCTGTAAGCGGAACATGAAAATTTGTTTTAGGGCAATGACGGTGTCACTTCGCTGCTGATGGAAAGGACTGTAACAAGAACTAAGGATTACAATCAGAGATGTTATATAATTTGTGTTGAGCATAGAAGGTATGAAGGCTATGGTCATCCCCGACAAATCGCCAATGCCAAGGCTCGTACAAGACGCCATGTAAGTTGTCCTTTGAAAACGACAGTTCAAAATGAAATCTAGCAGCAAAACAACAAGGTTAGACGCAACACTTGAAAACCTAGAGAAAATGAATGCTTTAATGCAAACTAGAGCCTCATATGCTGCATGCTGTCTGGCTGTTGTGCTACTAGCATGTGATGCTTTAAGTCCACGAGAAAGCTTCCTCCTGCTTATTACTACTTTCATCAATTTCGAAAGTTTTAGTAGGCTGATGAATATAAAGAGAGGAACCAGTCATACAATTACCTAGCACCGTTTTGTTCCAGCCATCTGTATGCTGCTCCCTCATCAAACTCTTATCAGTCATAGAAATGCGGGTTAGTATTGTGCAAGTGTGTGAGTGGGTGTGTGTACATGTATTCTCAAGGCAGCACCGAACTGCGAAATGGATTTCAGGATTTTGGAAAAAAGATGGTCCATACTTGCGTTGTCATCTAGATAGCTCGTTGACAGATTAACAGAAAAGCATGAAAGATAGAAGAGGAATTTCCACTCACCTGGTTCGAAATAAGTAGCAGGATCAGTCGCATCACCAATATCGATTGCATAACCAGTGTGATGCTCGCTGTAACCCGGGGGTGCAGATAACTGTCAGTCATAAGCAAAATTCATGTTAAGCTTTGTGTATAAAGCATGAAAATGGATTGACAGGATAAAAAGTGGAGTGACCAGTGCAGGCTCGAAAGATCGTTTCCTCATCGTTACCACTTGAAATATTGTAAACTCATTGTAAACAGAATATCTTCGTCAGACAATGCCATGAATTCATGAAGAGGAACCGAGCAGACTCGGTTTAGAATTATAAATCGATTATAGTCTGGCATCCTCTGCCATACAAACAATAGTCTTATCTATTAAAATGAACTCACCATAGCACGCTCAGCCGCACGTTGCATACGCTCTGCCTTCCCGTCAAAAAACACACTCTGTTGAGATGTTACAGAACGAAACCTGTGGCAAATGTAACGTGAGTCAAAATTAGGTTCCATTGCTTAAAACAGGATGAACACATCGTGAATATGAAATAGCCAACAAACACACAGATATAAAGATACAAACAGGGTTGCGGTTCTGCGAGTTTGACCACTAAGAAAACTTTCTGTACATAAAATAGCAAATTCATTGTTCTGAATCGTTATAATCGAAAGAGATCAGAGTACTATTCTACTCAGATCATCTTTCTGGAGAAACTACACGAATTAAGAAAACCGATATGATGGTCATCTGCATTTTGTGTACATGGGAGTTTTCATACCCAGAGAGAGGAATCAACCAGATGCCGTCTTTCCTCGCTGCATCTTGCATGCTGAGAAAGGCATTTGCAGCTGCAGTCCTTAGCATTACACTGCATCCAACAGTCAAAACCAGGTTGCGAACGTCAACGAAGAAACATTATATATATATATATATATATATATATATATATGACAGCATTGCAAACACCATCGGATTCCTGAACTGCAAAAAACTCCTTGTTATTACGAGAATATTATACAGAAGGCATAGCAAGCAGCTTGTCTTTACTGCTCTTGTTTGCGCAAACATCAATCTAAACCACTGGAGTGAACAATGAACCTAATTTGAGTTCATAGACTGCACGATCATGCTACCCAATGATCCTGCAAAATGTATTTGTCTTTTGGTTAGCTAAAAGTTGGAGAATACTAAGCGTGAGAATCTTATTACCTGCCATCAGCAAGGACAGGTTTGAGTTCAGACTCGGGAGCCTCCTCGGCTCGAAAGTGTCCCAGTAACTGCAAGCAGGGAAAACATAATCCACAGAGTGTTTTCAGCAGCAACAATGCTACTACAGCATATCACTAACGTGTTAAGTTCACTGATGGTATAATTCAGCGAAAGCAGTGAATTCAAGAGACAAACAATTACTTTAAGAGATATTGAACTTACCTACCTGCTCTTGATATGAAACTGACGCCATTCCAGACGGTGGTACCCCTCCATCTACAATGGCTTCAGCAATCGAAGTGTTACTCGACAAACAGGATACAGACATTTAACTTGCTGCAAGAATCTCAAGCACCACTATTGCCCAAAGAAAGGTTTCAATACCATGCCAAATAACAACATTCTGATGTGCTCAATGACTAGTCCAAGTTCGTGCTCATTCAACCAATCATCTATTACAAACTTGTGGCTTTACTAATTTCCTGTTAAATTGTTTGTTTAAAAATCAGATCAGACGTTTCTCTACTTGATCAAAAAAGAGAAACTTCGTAATGAATGAAAAAGAAGAGTTTGATATATCCAAACACGAGAGAACTAAATGGGTAAAGAGGTACCGAATGCTGTAATCGGAAACAAGAAGAGCACCAATTTCAAAACATGATTCTAGACGAGCTATCTCAACTGACAGATGCTTCAAGGAGACTGGACGTTAATCAGAAAAAAAATCTTACCATGTTTCTTCCTTGATAATAAATCTATCCTGAACTGAGCTACAGCCACCCCAGCAGAAAATGCGACTACAAACGTCAAAACCGTTACTGTCCAGGAAGGCGCTCTAGCTACACTGTCGTACACTCTGAGATCTTCAATTGGCCCTTCCGAACAAGGTTTCACCTGTTTGAACATTGTTCACATGTAAGTAAAAAGTCAAACTATTCTTCCAAACATTCTTGTTGCTGCAATCGACAAATGCCTCACTCAGGTTAGAAGTGCAAGAATGTTTTGCATTACGTACTTATCTGTTCATTTGTTGTTAATTTTTGTCAGATGTACATGAGGAATAGGTGAGAGGTATACTAACAGAGTCATTTGAAATTTCCTTAAATTGAGCGCTTCTTCTGAGCCTCTGCAAGTACTCTCTGGAAGGGGAGGCATACGGCTGGACAGGAAGCTCACTCTGCGCACTTTCCTCGCTGTTAACAATTCGCCCTGAAGGCGATAATCCGCTCTGGCAGAAAATAATAATATGTTAGCGCAAAATCCAAGATACTTATGTATTAATCCGCACTCTCTTCGTCCAGGAACATCCACCAAATAACGCATAGCAATTTCTTCTGCAGTTGAAGGATTGTACAGAACCCTAACCCAAATGCACAGCAAGGTGCTTGCGCCATTTTCAGAAAGGATCGAAAATTGACGAACATTCTCGATTCGGTCCAGCACGGTTGTTCAGGTGAATATTCAACCATCAACCACTTAAACCCTAATCTTTAAACCCAAAATCCAGTTTTCTTTGATAAAACTAAAGATAGATGACAGATGTCGTAGACCGCAATGCTCAGAGGATACTGTCTCCCGGCACAATACACACATGCTTACCACACTTACTTCAACCTCATTCTCGGGGATCCGTGGCTCCTCTGAGTCGTCTTCACTTCTGGGTTCCCCAAAAGATGCCGCAGACTCATGCAAACTACCAATCGCGAGTGAATTCTTCCCATAGAGTAGCCAGGACTTGCGCAATACTTGTAAACCCACAAGTTTTCCTGACCTCAAGCAAAGCGCTTCGCCATTCCTCAGCACCCTCGACTTCAGTGAGAAGCAGGGAGACAAGTGCGAAGGAAGGCAAATGACGAGCCCATCCATGAGTAACGTCCGAGTCTGATACAATAGAAATGTGATTGTGTAGTAACCTAAGTGCACAAGGCATCGTCCTGCGCCATAGCTTGCGGAATATTACGCCAGATAGCAATCGCCGCGCAGACACAGCATTGCCAGGAGTATGCGTGACGTGAAACCTCGTTAATATCATTCTGTGTTTTGTATTTTTATCAACGAACGTCGGTATACTTTTCGTTGGGGAAATGTTTTTCGTTGTCGAGGCCACTTTAACAACAGCATTAGAGATTTTGCGTTTGTGAGGCAATTTAGTTTTTTATTCTCTATGCAGTTTCAAATAATCAACGAAGTAAACTGCTGTAATGAGTTGGTCAGCATGGGTTGCAACAGTTATCTCCTTTCACTTCATTCATTTCTCAAATTTGTCTACGTTCTTTCATATCGTGAGAAGTGTAATGTATTATTCTTTGCTTGTCACGTACCGCGATATTCAAAATGAAATTTTGTTGGTGTGGAAGAGAAGTACCATTATTAATGTAGGAGGAAAGTGGCTGATTTCGTCGAAATTGAAATTTATTGCTGTGATTTGTTCACAATGATTAGCATTGGAGAATATTGAAATGAACAAATGAAACAATATGCAACTGGCATGACAGATGAAGCCAGGTGCTACATTGGATAAAAATGGAAAATAGAACAAAAATGTAACATTTGAGAGGGACGAGTACAATTTCACCAGAGCTCCGAATTGTTCATATTCTGCATTATCTACTGCAAGCAAGAAATAAAGAAGCTATTTGCACCTAACAACACAGGTGATGAAATTTATATTCGACTAATTTGCACATTCCAGTACCAGAGAACAAATACAAGCTTCCAAGTGGCAGCTATAACCTGACAAGCTGCAGCTTGCGAAGAAGGAAAACCATGAGACGATGCCATGCACCGAACAACCTTTACAAGAGAAAAAAAGAATATCTCATCTACGGAGCTGCTGCTGCTGCTGCCTCGGAAAGGTGTACCATGATTATAAAAAATAATAAAAAAAAAATTAAAAAAAGTGCAAAAAAAGAGATACAAAAACAATCTACACAGTGGCAGCGGCGAGCTCAGCCTTGAGCCTGGAGTCGCCATACAACGTTTCCTCGAAGCGGATGATCTCATCGCGAGACCCATATGCAACCTGGGTTCTGTCGTCGGTGTTCACCACCACCTTGTCCAGAACAGATTGCTTGCCATCACTACTGTAGCCTCCGGCATTCTCAATCAGCAACCCCAAGGGTGCAACCTCAAACAGCAACCTCAGCTTGGCCTTGGTGGTTGGCGAGGTTACATTAGTGAAGATACCCCTCTCCTTCACGATGATCTGGTTCACGTCGGGAACCATGCCTCCCGTGTAGCGGAGAGTGTACTTCTCGCTCACGTAGTAGTTAATCAGCTTCTCGTAGTCGGCGTTGTCGAAGGTGGCCCTCAAGTTCCCGGGGGAGAAGAGCTTGCCTTCCTTAATCTCAGTTGTCTCCTTCACATGCTGCCATTTGCCGTCATCCATGAGGAGGAACTCGTGGGTGCCGGGGAAGCCGTTAATGGCGACCACGTAGGTCGTACGGGGTCCGTAAATGCCCATAGCTGAGGCAGCTTGGTCACGGCCTGTGATGCCGGTGAGCTTGTCTCCGGGCCAGACACCGAAGATGGTGCCGACAGTGAAGTTGGTGTCGACGATACTGGAGCCGTCCAGTGGGTCGAATGCGACGCTGAAACCCTCACCTTCCATGTCCTGAAGGATCGGCTCTTCTTCGGAGCACGCGTACTTGCAGACGTGGGAGTGGCGGAGAGCCTCGAAGAGGAGCTTGTCGGCGAGCATGTCAACGGCAAGTTGTTCGTCGCCGAAGGTGTTCACACAGGCAGTGGCACCGCAAGATGCAGTGCGGACCTTGAAGGCGATGGTGCGGAGAGCCTCTCCCATGCACACCAGCAACCTAGCCAGATTCTTGTCGGTCGTGGCCTTGGCTAGGAACTCCTCTAGGCTGTCGCCGAGCTCTGCCCGAGTGAGTGTGTTCCTGGATGTGGACGAGGCCTTCACGGACACTGCATTGCGTGCATATGGCATGCTGGCGCCATAGAGAGAGCTGGCCTTGCCTCCCTGAATGAAATTTCATCACCCATCATCAACACCATCGTCAGTGTGAGGTTTGCATGGGAATTGCAAGAGTTCATATTCGTGTCACCTGCCCTACTGACAACTACAATGTTAAGTGTTGAAAATCTCCTAATGTCGGCAAGTATTTCCGCAGTTGAAGCACATGGTTTCTATCCTAATTGTGTCCCTCAAACCCGAATGGTAAGCATTGAGAAACCAGGCGTATGTACACTTTAATTCAATAATTCGATGACCCTGAGAAAGATGTTACGACTGCAATGGAAAAGAGGACGCACGAACTGGTTCCTATGACGTATGTCTGCCAATACTAACTACAAGTTCTCGGATGTAAATTGTGGTTAACGTAAGCGAGATAAATTCTCAGCACCTCGTATAGCAGTCATTTTTACGATTCCAACAACAGTGAAGTGAGTTGTTTCTCAGTTCTTCAAAATCCCAGCCATGACGCGAAGATATACTAACTAAACATCTCGGGGCGGAATATTCATTTCAACCAACATACATACTACTTTAACTCCCGACAAGTAGAGGAAGTCTGAGGACATAATACACGTCCACGGATCTAAAGAACTAAGCAGCTGAGCGGTGTGGGGAAATTGGCTCTTAACGAGGCAATTCTAGTAGGAACACCCCAATTAAGCCGTCATTACATGAAAAATCTAAGAATGACTGGGTTTGTACATGTAGACACCATTATTAACCCACTATTAAGCGTCCACATACGTAGCCAGTGCACAATTACCACTCAACCCACGTCACTATTTCACATCTCACAACCACTCAGACAGATGGTACAGCTAAGGAACTCTGGATGCTAGCTCTAGCAGTTTACAAGTAACTAACCAGGCGTCGTGACACACCTACAGCTCGGCTGAGCAGTGATGTGAAACCCGTGACTTACAATATGCGTAAAATCGAGCACAAGGTGTGTTCCTTACGAGGATTGATGACTTACCAGAGAAGTGGCGGCCGCGGAGCGGGGGAAAGCAGCATTCTGAACGCCAGCTCCAGCAACGGCACTGGAGGACAACTTGGCGAAGGATGAGACAGCGCTCCCTGCAGCAGTAGCGGCCATGGTCGTCGCCATTGCTGATCAAGCGAGACTCAACCTCACCAACACCAAGACCCAACTACAAAATGGGGAAAAAAACAGAGAAGATGGGGCGATGGGTTGATAGCAGTGAAGAGTGGTATTCACAGCGGGGTCCTCAAGAGCTACATGCTTGGCGGCAAGGCGAAGCAGTAGAGAGGGGAGAGCCACACAAACGGCGCTTTCGGATAAGAAACAATCCTACGGGGCTGCTTCTTCGGCGCCACTACCTCCTTTTTCTTCCTCGTTTTTCAAGTATTTTTTCTAGTAAAAAGAGCAACAATAAACTGCCTTGCCTTGCTGGTTAGAATTGGGTGTTGTTGTTGTTGTTAAAGTCAAATTGTGTGTATTCTGAGCGATTCCTTTTTAAAGGAGAGATTGTTACTAGAGAATTCAGTAGTGAGGCTTTCATTTGTTTGGCTATCCTGAAGTCAAGCGCTATCCTGAGAGCGTTGAGGGTGCACCGCCACCATGTCTTGTTGCTTTTTATGCAGACTGTGGCCCTTGTTGCTTTATGGATTTCCTGCGGCTGAGGTTGAATCCATGCCCTGTTGCCTTCCTCTCATTCTCTTTTGCTTTGCATCCTTTGTTGGACATGCCTAACATTTCCAGTCACCTCTGCATCTAATTTTTTTCCTCTGAAAAAATATAAAATTAGATCACATACATATATATTAGTCATCTATTTTTTCAAAAGATACCACTTCAATAGCTCTTTCAAATTATCTAAAAATCATGGTTTGCTGTCTATGAGGATTTTTATTATTTTTTTATTTTATTAATTTTTTGTATTTTTTTAATTTAAAAAAAGATAGAATTAGTTGTCAGTTTATTTGATTGAGGGTTGTATACATGTAATTTAAAAATATTATAGAATAATTCTTATTTAGAATAATATGGCTAATTTTCCTTTGCTCTTAAGAACTTTGTTGTATAAATAAAGATTGTTATGCACTATCACAAACATGAAACTTGAAGAAAGAAAATCTTTATTACACTCTTGTATCACTAAAAGGAATTAAAAAGTTACTCAAAGATGATATAATATTGAACTAGATTGGCTATTGCCAAAAACAAGAAGACCAGAAAGTCTTGAAACAAGACTAAGGACTAGAAAAGCATTGACAAGAGTGAATGCTTCACTCTTGCTTCCATATATATTCTCTAACTAGGAGCTATGTAGCAATATTCTATAGGACCTCCAACATATGTTGACTTTATTAGCCACATGTCTTAACTTATAAGACAAGTTATCTATATATGCACCACATAGTTAGCTTATTCCACAAGCTACTACATGGAGTTAATTTATTCCACAAACTACCAACGCATGGTTAACTTATTGGCCAAATTTTTAACCTATAAACACATCTAAAATCAAAACCACGTGTATGAAGCTTCTAAGAAGCTTTTCTAAAAGACTTTATGAAATTAATTTATATTTATATACTTCTATCTAATTATATAAGTAAATATTGGAATAAATGTATATGTCAGTGACATGCACAATAGATCAAGTGCTATAAACCAATCATAAAGTATGCAATCTATACCAAATACAAATGTGCAATAAATACACTTAGAAGTGTAAGATGATAAATCTATCCACCAGTGGATTAAGCTACTTCTAACACCATAAAGAGAGAATCTAAGAGCACAAATGTGAAGTTGATATAATCCTAAAGCTTTTCTAAATAGCTAAATCAACATAACCAAGAAAATCCTTAAAATATAAGCTTTTTCTCTTTCAAAACCACTTAGAAGAATTGACTCAACATTCTTATCTAGTCAAAGGGATTTCTCCATCTAAGTCTTTAAATCCTATTTGATACTAATAGAGTCAACTAATGGAAAAAACTAAGTGGATGAAAACTACCAAACTAAAGTAAATTACAAACATTCAATGAGATTTGACACTTGATACTACATCATGTGACAACTAGAACAAGTTATTAAATGGTTGCAAGCTCAAATTACAATAAAACATTTGAAATATTTAGACTTTGCAACAATAACACTTGTATACTCCAATTTTGTATCAGTAAATAAGTAAAGTAAAATAGAAATCATTATGTAGACATCTTCATTTTATTGTATAGAAAAACTATGTACAATTTACTTAATTTATTAAGATTTAGAAAATGAATAAAATATTTTATTCTTCCAATTATTTGTTGTCACGGACCAGAAATACAGACAACAAATCTAAACAAGAAGTTCACGAAGAACTAGTAAGAACTAGATTGACTAGATGAGTACAAGAACAACACCAAGAGAAGTGAGCTAGAGCTCCAAGAGATGCATTGTCGAGACTGAAGAACTCTTCAGCCTCGACTCCTATATATACTACTGGCCTATGGTTCTAAGGAAGCGCATCAAGAAGCTTCCAAAGAACTATGAAGCTTCTCGAGCAACTACCCAAGAGCTAGGAAGCTTTTCAAGTAACTTCCTAGAATCTACTAGAATATTCTAAGAATCTTCTAGAGCCTTCAAAGGGAATCTTTAGGAAATCTTTAAAGAATCTTTAGGGAATCTTTGAAGAATATTCTAAGAGAATATTCAAGGAATCTTTTGGAAGTTTCTAGAGACTTCTTTCTAGAAGGTTCTAGAAACTTGTCTCTAGAAAGGTCTAAGGACTATGTCCCTAACATCACCTCCTCCTTTAGCTTGGAGGTCTCCGAGAAGCAATGTTATCGTGAGTCAATACCAACACAAGAAAATGAAGATCTATCGCATAACCTCTGCTATGAACTCCAATTGTTGTTCACGAGGCAAGTGATTCAATGGTCCTTGAAGCCAACGGTAGTGGCCCACGCCTTTAACTTCTGACCAAGCATGAACCTCCGTGTCTTCATTGTGAAATTGTCCTGCAAACACTCCTTCTGGCTGACCATTGTAGGCAGGCTCGACCTCAAATACAATCACCAGCGATCTGTTGCTCGGAATCCTTCGACGTCGACGTGGTGCAAGCGATTCTTCATCTCGCGGTCGTCTTCGTGAGCTAGTTGCTTGAGATGATATGACAAGTGTAGTATCTTGGCTATCCATATTCAAAGGCTAAAACAATAAGAACAAACTTGGGCTACTAACAAAGCTCTACGCTATCTTGGAGAGAATGACTACATCAACTATGGATTTTGGTGGTGCTCTCTCCTCTTTTCTATTTTCTGGATGAGCAAGCTTCAGTAAGAAGCTATCGTCGAACCGGCTTGGATTTCTCACGATATCGTCGATAAAACTCCTATACCTTTTGCGGCGCATTCGCGAGATTTTTGGCCGGCTCCCATGTTCGTTGATTAATATCGTAACCGCTCCAATGCACAAAGTATTCTAATTTACCCCGTCTTTGCCGTGAATCCAGGACCTATTCCACCTCGTATTCTTCGTGGTTCTCTATTTCTATGCTAGGTGGTGGACATTGTACTCTTCCAGGAAAAGACGATTCTCGATAAGGCTCCAACAAAGAAACATGAAAGACAGGATGTACCTTCATAGTAGCTGGTAAGTCCAGACGATACGCTACAGGATTGATCTGCTTCTAGATAACAAATGGTCCCAATCTCCGATAGTCCAATTTGTCACATGGCCGCTTGGTCTTCATATTTCGTCGAAGCAGCCAAACTTTGTCTCCAATCGTGAATTTAGGTGCCTGATTCCAAAATTTATCCGCGGACGCCTTGTAAGATTCTTGGGTAGTTTGCAATTGAAGCTTCAATGTAGTTTGAAGCTGCGAAGGCTCCTTCACCAATCCTTCAGCTGCCGGATTGTTAATCGTTGACGAACTCCATAAGTCAAGCTTCGGATGGTATCTATAATTGGAAAAGAATGGCATTTGTTGAGTTGACGCATGAAGGGTGTTGTTATATGCGAACTCGGCTAGCGGTAGATATGCGACCCAATCATCTTGTTGATAGTTGATGGTGCAACGTAAATATTGCTCTAAAACTTGATTCACCCGTTCTGTTTGGCCGTCCGTTTAAGGATGAAATACCGAAGAAAGCTTGATATCCACCTTCAATATTTCAAAAAGAGATTTCCAAAACTTTGACACAAACTGGGTTCCTCGATCCGATACGATATCATCTGGTAGACCATGATATCGATACACATTATCAAGAAAGAGTCTTGCTGTGTCTTCGCTTGACGATGTCTTCTTGCAAGGGACAAAATGCGCCATCTTTGTAAGCCGGTCTACGACAACAAAAATACTGTCAAATGAATTCGATGGTGGTAGATCCGTAATAAAGTCCATGGAAACCGAAGACCATGGTCGGCGCGGAATAGGCAATGGCTGTAGAAGTCCATAAGGCCGATGTCGAGGGTTTTTGGATCTTGAACAAATGTCACAAGATACAACAAAATCTTTCACATCCTTCCACATTTGAGGCCACCAGAAATCGCGAGAAATAATTTCCAAGGTCTTATTGAATCCAAAATGTCCCGCAGCTGGAAAGTCATGACGAGATTGAAGAACTCGGAGTCGTGTTGGCCCTTTTGGGATATACAACCGCTCTTCGAAATATACTAGATCTCCTTCCATCTTGAATTTATCATCACTAACATGTTGCTTGATATCAAGGGCTAGAGAATCTTCAATGGTTGCAGCCCGTACCTGGTCGAGGAAGTCAACATCAATTGGTACAATAGCTGCGTTGAGCCGAAATTTCTCTAGCTTCAACAATGTCGTGCACTGTTGATCAAATGCTGCATCTCCAGCCTTTGGCGCGAGATATGATCTCCTTGATAATGCATCGGACAACCCTTGTTGCTTCCCAGGCCGATAAGTAATAACAAAGTCGAACCTGGATAGCGACATACTCCATCGAGCTTGACGCCGATTCAAAACCCGAGCCGACATAAAATACTCCAAATTCTTGTGATCCGTATATACGGTCACTGGATGTGCAGTTCCTTCGAGAAAGTGGCGCCACTCTTGGAAAGAATCTACTACAGCAAGGAGTTCCTTATCGTGGATCTTATAGTTGATCTCAGCAGTAGAGAATTTTTGAGAATAGAACGCAACTGGATGGAGCTTCTCATCTACGCCCATCTGTGAAAGTACAGCTCCCAAAGCAAAATCCGAAGCATTTGTCTCCAAATAAAAGGCCTTTGTAAAGTCCGGATGTACCAAGATTGGAGCTGTAGTAAATACCATCTTCAAATCTTGGAATGCTTTTTCTGCGAT